GTCTCTCCCTGGCCTAGGTGAATTCCATTCAAAACCCTCCCGCCCTTTCTTATCATCCCTCTCCTTCGTACTTTTATGATATTTATTTAAACTCTGATTATCGTTCCATTTGATTTGACCTAATTTATTTATTTATTGAATTGTCTACATATATGCATATACTAACTTTGTTATTCTTATCACCTATATAAGCCTTATTAACAATATTTTGTTATTATTATAATCATCGCTATTAACTTCGTTTAAAACATTTACCACATTATTATTACTATTATTATTATGATTATCATTATTATGATTACTATTATTATTTGATCCACTAAATCACCGTCAGTGGTTAAAATTTTATATATATAAGTCTATGTAGATTAGAGTAAAGCCTGGAGAAGATCTAATTGAAAACAATATTGTTCGCTTATATGTCTTGTTCTAATATTATAAATGGGAATATTTAAAGATTATAACAATAAGTCACAATAATACTTCTGATAGTTTTTCTCTGTCTTCCAACGAACAGCGGACGATGGGACAATGACTTATTTGCTGATGGCTCCTGAAAAATGTGGTGGAGTTGGGTTTTAGCAAACAACGACTAATTGATCGTTCAATCTTAAACCACATTGACACTCCCGGGCAAAAAACAGATCCATCCCTCTTTTCCATCACGACCAATACACGTTGACTTGGATGCCACTGCGAGAACCTGGGTCACATGGACAGAGCTGAAATGGAAAACAAACAGCAAAGCCAACACACCACAGGCATACCCACAGCATAATCTCACACATCGATGACGACCTGCGCCTTCCAGTTAAAGGCCTCCTCTTGACATCTCGCATTACAATCGCCACTTGCTAGAATGACTCTTGCAGAACAAAACGTGACCATGGCAGCACCTCATAATACTCGTCGCACATCCTCTTATCTATTCACTACCAATTACCACTGCCATCGCTTGTCACTAATTCTGCCTCAGTTCTAGTAACGGTGACGTATGCGAGCCTCAGTCGTCCACACTCTCGCTCCCCGGTGTGTGGGAACACAGTCCAAACAGAAACATTCATTCTCGATCATTGATTCCACATCTAATGCTTATCTCCGTGTGCATTTCATTCTCAGCAATAGCCTAGCCTCCCCGGCGTATACGACCCATCTGCTGTCTTCAACATCAGTCAATTCATTGATGGATGTAGAAGACTAGGAACGACTTCAGAAGTAATCACGACGAAAATTTTAACAAAATTATGTAATAACAACAAGGTGCGAAAACAACGAGTAAACACAATGAATCCAAAACACCAATTGATATGACACACCACACATTTATACAAACAGTACACACAAACTCGCGGATCATGTCTTGATGTAATATTTTGAAGAATCGCAGGACTTACACCAGTACGCCTGAAACCCTTCTCAGGTTGACGCCCTAGGTCGGAAGACCGTCGAAGAGTTCATTTGCTAATTTCCTTCCATCATCTATATCCTCAACTCTGAACAATGACACGCCCATGTCATTGTATCGTGGAATGTAAATGGCTAACAAACATACGACGTATCCGACCAATCATGCGTAGGCACATAGCAATTTTCTTCAGCGATAATTACATTCAAATAGCAACTTGAAACTTGAAAGGCGTTTATTCGTGCTAGTCGGTTTAACAATTACCCTCTCATACACAGTTGGTTTGTCCTCTTTAAACTGAACAATATGTTTCGTCCTTTCAAAGGGACCGATACTAGCATAGTTACATAAGAAAACACGTGAGTTCATAGGCGTCTGTTTCATTGTGGATGACAACACCAACGACGACTGATTGATACCAGTTGATGAAGTTGACGGTGGATCAGAAGCTGTTGTTGCTCGGCTTTCAGAAATTTGTCTAACTGCAAGACCACCACCACTGCTGTCTTTTACTATCAGCTCTGGTTTAGCACTAGCATCTGATGATAGGTGGGCTTCACTCTGATCAATTACATTGACGGTTTGACAAGTATGCATGCCTTCTGCAACTGCACCTGCATTTAATTCTACTTCACGTTCAAGTTGTACAGAACCTTTGTTCAACTTAGCGGTAGTAGGCATTCCCCTCATCTCATCATGATCAACCAAAGACAAATCTGCACTATCATGATCATTATCACGAATATTCACTTTACCGTCAATTTCATCATTTTCAAACTCTTTAATAACAGAAGTAGACAATTTTGGTTCCTCGCAAATTATAAAAGGTTTTATAACTTCACCCTGACTAGTAATACCTTGTAAACTTGTGGAGTCAGAACCGAAGTCTGAAACTGTAACTCTCTTCTGTGGCATTCTATTCAACAATGGCTTACTAGTTGGAGCTACAGGCTTTTTCACCACACCAATATCTTCACAAAATTCGAAGTCAGACCTTGATTTCACATTTAGCTTATCACTGAACTTGCTCACTGGTTCACAGTTCACCTCTGTATGCACCTCTTGCAAACGTGTAAGACACAACCGTGTTTGTCTTGCAGCTTGTAACTTATCTGTTGAGGATGTACCACGAAACCTGTTACACTCACTAGGTCTATATGCATTATTAGACACAATAGAGCTTTCTCGATAACCACCTCTCTGAGACCCTTTCGTCATCAATGATTGCGTTTTGCCCTCAGGCTGCTCTATTCTTCGGGTGAGATTCAATAGACTGGCAAACTTGCTCATAGATTCATTGACACTAGTATTTACCAGTTTCAGAATATCATCAAACTTTGGCTCGATACCCTCATCCTCCATACGGGAGCTTATCTTCACCCACTTCCTTTGCAGTCGAGTAGGTAGGCGTCTTGCTACTGCCTCTAGGACTGAGCTTGAGTTGAGGTCACTCACGCAATTCATAGAAATCAAGGTATTCTTGTAGGTCATAAGATTATCCAGAAATTCAGTTAGTGCCTTGGAGTCATCTTGAAGTTGACTACCGTTACCTTTGACAGCTTCGTATACGTTCCTTACAATCATTGAAGGTCTTCCAAACCTTTGACGTAATATGCTCATAGCCTCAGCGTATCCCTCATTAGGGCGCATGAGCGTACAGCACTGTATAGCTCTTGCAGCAACTCCAGTGCAATACCTCATCAAATACATTAACTTCATTTCATCAGTTAATAAAAAACCACTTAGCATGATCTCAAACTCCTTTACAAATTGTAAATAATCAGCCGGGTTTCCATCGAAACACAGTGGTTCAAATTTAAGGAGTTTGATGTTCCTATTATCTCTGAACGGCGAAACAGTAACATCAACCATGCCATGCTTAACATCAGACACATCGTTACAACTAACAGACAAGTCACCATGACTTACTTTCCTGTTTGCATCCAAGACGCTCTGTCCCTTCTTTGACCCAGGCATTGTTGAACTTGACCCAATTCCAAAAATGTTCCAGATATTGCTTGTTCAGAGAGGACTTGACCGGCGCCAGGAAAGATGAACGGTGACTATCCAAACTGACACCAACGGTCTAGAACCGTTTAAAAACTGACGTTGTACCGTCAGAAACTGTCAGCCACGTCTCGTAAACCGTTAATGCCCAGCTCTTGCTACGCTGGGACTCACGCTGTTCCTCGAAGCTTCTCAGAAACGCTTAGTACGAACGGACGCAAAAACCAGAACACAGATTGGCGACTCGAGAATTCTTTATTCTAGCACCAACATATAGCCAACTTTACAACTAAGGTCTATGAATAAATATTACAATAATAAATCACAATATTACTTCTGATGGTTTTCTGCTGGCTTCTTTCTGAACAGCGACTGATGAGACGATGACTGTCGTATTGATGCCTCCGCGAAAAATTGGGGAAGTTGGGTTTGAGCAAACAACCACGAATTGATCGTTCAATCTTCAACTACATTGACAATATGTTCACCTCCTTATATACAACTCTGGTGAGGGTTCAGAGGAAGACAATACGTATGGTTCTCGGCATGATTAACTTTTCATACGACGAAAGACTAGGCAGTTTAAATCTCTTCTCCCTATCATACCGTAGACAGAGAGGGGATTTAATCAGAATGCTTCAAATTTTAAACAATGGCTACAGACCTGACCTATTCTCTCTTTTCCTTTCCACCAAGACGAAACACCTTAGAGGACATAGCAGGAGAGTTCAAAAGCCAAGAATAAATCATATTGCTGTGGATTACTGGTTCTCACACCAAGTCATAAACTCTCGGAACCGACTCCCCGGAGAAGTGGCGTCTGCGACCTCAAATGACTAGTTCAAGAAGGGTTTGGCAAGCACAGAAATTTACTAGAAAAGGATTAACATAGGCTCCAAGCCTTCTATCCTCAAACAATAAATCTGAAACGTGAAGGGTATTGAATATTGCAAGTCCGTTCAAGTGCTTGCGTTACACTCGAGTTGCATTCAACTTTTCAGGTTACTTGTACCTAGTGTGTGGATAGTGTCACTAGAGTCGAGTTACAACAACTTTGGAACACTATTTTAGTTGTTTGTTATTTGAATGGCATCTAAAATACCCTTCAAAAACGATGGGAGCTTTTTGGAATTATTTAAGCAAATGCAGGGTATTTTTCGGCATGATTAATAACTGGTTTTAGCTGAACAAGAAAGAGTGTCTATTGAAAAACCTATAGTTCCTGATGTAACTTCTTTTTTTTAAAGTTAACTCTTTGTTCAGGAGGTTAAATTAGAAGACACCGATGATTCTGACAGGTAACTTGTGTTGCTTTCGCTGACTGCTTCAGTAAACCATGCAAAATTGAAGACGTAAAAGGTAGTTGCTTTGTATGATTTTTTATGTCTTACCTTCCTATGAATGGGTTCTAAGTGCCGTATTTCCAGTTATTCCTGATGATCCTAAGGTTTTGGTGGCTATCGAATCATTGGTCCTTCGCGTTTGTGGCATGTCTCACAGTCTGTGCGAAGCTGAGATCAAAAAGTTTGAGGACAGCGTTCAGTACTGGTATGTATAGCTGCCTAATACTTTTATGTGATCTTGGCAGGTTCCTGACACTTCCAGAGACCAACGAATACAAGTTCTTCAGAAGAAGACTAGCAGAGATGCGGAAGAATAAATTGTCCTGCAATCCAGTCAGTAAGTTTTAAGATGATCTCTATTTGAACTCCTCAGTGATACTCTGTATTCAGTTTCTTTGGGAGACGTAGTAAGCAGTCACTATTCTCTATGAATGTTTAGGAGGACTAAAGCAATTAACTGTGCTAGAAAATTCACTTGGTTTTCTAATTGTTGCATTCGACTACTTCTCCAGACATTGTGTTGCTGCAGCGTTCTCGACTCATCCTGTTTGTAACTTAAACTTGTTAATGCCCGATGTGTTTTTAGATTTTAGCCTAGGAGATTGTAGTTGTCAGACATACTTTTAATGCCTTCTAACTTTCTGCTTCTTCTTATTATTATTGAGTCTTAAAAAGGAAAGTCTTAGTGACAACCAAAAGATAAAGTTATTTAAAAACCTTCGCTGAACCCTAATTCAGCGATTATTTAAAAGAATAACTTTTCGCCAAACGCTTTTTCTTTAACAAGAGAAAGTGTTTGTAAAATCTTAGGTTTCGTAGTCTTACTGCGGTTAAGCCCTAATGTGTTATGATAAATCGACCTACTTTGAGACTTGATAATATATGCATCACTCCTACGTCCTGGAATCCATGTGGGTCTGTGAGTGCCAAAATTTAGCTATATTTCTTGACCCAAAGCTTACACATCCTTTGGTAAGCTTTTGTTTAACGAAATATGTAGCAAGTGTATCTTGTTTCTGAGGTCTGTTTGCGTTCACTTTTTCCATAAGATGGAATAAGATCCATATGGGTGTACTCGTAAAGTGGTCTTCATCAAACTTCTTCAGCTTAACCCACTGACTGGTCTCAACATAAAACTTCGCGCAAAAGTGTAGCAGTTCAAACTGCCACACTGCATGTGGCACATAAAGGAAGACAAAAAAGCGATTCGAAAGAAAGATAGTTAACGGAAATATGAGGCGGAAAGAATAGGAACATGGAAAAACAAAAGGGTTTAAAGAGTATGGCAGATCACAAAGAGCGAGTAAACCTGTTCCAATGAGAAAGATTTTGAGCTACATCGCCAGTTTTCTCCAGCCATTGGTTCTTACCATCCTGAGGACTTCACCCGAGCAGTCTGTACCTCTCTAAGTGACTCAAACTAACTCAGAAGTTTCATGTACTAATTTCATGTTTTGGTTTGACCACCATCAGTACTTTCCCATCCCGATCGTATGTCAGCCGTCAATGAAGGTGTTGGCTAGGCATGAGTAACACGCATCCTACCCATCTGAATCGATATAGCTTCGCAACCTAGCTGACTGACTTCCTATCCTGAATTAATACTCGACACCTAACCCCAGTATTACTCACCATTTTACATCACCTAAAGTTGGAGATAAAATGCAGACACCTATGATCAAACAGCTTATGCAAATTAAAATGAAAGTAATTTGGGAGCTTTTAGTCTATTTGCTATATTTTTAAGGAGATATAAAAACGAATATGCATTTTAAAATATGCGAAATACAGTTCATAAACGTACATAATTTTATAGAAGTAGACAGTAGTTAATTATAGTAGATGGTTGAGAAGTATTCGTTTCCATATAATGATGATCGCATATATTCAAGTTGTGGTCATCATAGTGTACAGCTCTGTAGTCAAATCTAACATATATAATGCATCATTCACCCCGCTTAACCGATCTGTTCTTTCTGAAAAATGAGTGAACTTCACAATGAAAGAAATCATCGTTTAGTTCACTTGTGCACCAGGCTTCAGTGATCATTAGTGCTGTAGGTTGGCTAATCATTAATAGGGATTGTATGTATGTCACATTGTTTACAGCTGACGTAGCATTATTAAGAACTGTGTTAGGATTAGCCAGGTCATATCTTAAGGTTGTAGCCAAGTCTTGAATTACCCGGTGATGAGATTCAATCAAAGTGTCCTCAGACGACAATGAAATGTCTATGTCTGTAGATGCGCTAGGAACGCTAAAAGAGCAGAAGGGGTCAGTCATATTTGTATGTTCCTGTAAGTTGGAGCGTAAAGAAAGTTGACTGTCAGAAGAAAAATAGATAGAGGGTTGTTGATGAAAAAGATAATTGGCTGTCATGTAAGGTGAGTTCCAGGCAGTAATTTGGCAGTGCTGTACAAGCTGTCCTATCTTCATCGGGAGTGGACGAAACCTGTGGAGAGTGGTGAGCATTTCTTCCTGATCTATGAATTGGCAACTCCGTTGGGTTTGGGCATGTAAATAGGTGGAGGTGGCCTACCAATCAAGCTAAACTGATTCGCATTATTACGCTTTAAGTTACTGCCGTTCGGCAGCCTATAGTTGAGTGTGTCAATCTTTTCATTTATGATGGTGTGAGGGCCCTCTTTTTGGACAGGTAGCTATGAATTTCAGGTTCTATTGTATGGTTTTTGCACTTGCCGTTTTTGTGAATATTCATCTCTTCAGCTAGTTTGTTGCTTTTCGACTGTAAGTCTTCGAGTTTGTGGGACATTAAACATAAATTTGAAAAGCAAAAGACACAGAACAATAAACCGGAATATATTTCCGATGTATTTTGAATAAGGTTTACCTCAGGTAGGCTGCAAAATTGATAGAAAATCAAAATTCATTCATATTGGTTCATATTCATTAACTATTTGTGATATCATGGTGTCACTAAGTCATCATGTTTTTCGATGTTAGTATTCTTCCTTCCGTGAATTTCTGATCATAACTGTTTTTAAATTTCCTCTTCTTTTCTCTATCTTTGTGTATCACATAAAGTGTGGCAGTTGAAACTGCTACACTGCTGTGCAAAGGTCTGTCTAGAAACTCACTTTTGAATTATAGTCTTAGATATGCTACGTTAATACGTAGTCTGAAAGTATACACAAGAAATAGCTATCATCTACCAGCTGTTATCCAAATGTTGTACAAAAATGTAAGCTTCCGAAATAGGATTAAGAGAAGGATGGAAATCATTAACTATAATGCACATATAACGGGATTTAGATTTGATTACTTACTACCTCTTTTCTTCCTCTAAATCCTGTAGATTTTACTTCTCTGTATCTATTCATTCTATCTCCCCAAAGATTTCTTCCAGTACTTCTGAGCTGCTGAATGAAACAGCGTTGTTATCAGTAAGAAAAATGTGTAGAAACATGTTTTAGTTATGCTTTCTAAGGACACTAATCAACAACATGAGTGACGGCATATTAGACAAGCACAGTACTTGACATAGAATGTAGGGCAGGGTTCTGTATGCAGTAATTCTAGTTCCCTTGTTGATGTATGTTATCTACCCTCTTTTAGTTAATCATTTCGATCTAGCATACTATCTTGGGTCATTTAGTATTTGCTTTACTAAATAGGCTGTCATTTAAAGTTGGTTTCACAGGTGATATTGCCACAAAAAGACGTCATCTAAAAACTTCCTATTCGTGTTGACTGTAATTTTCCACTCTTTAATCCACAGTTATTTACGGCTGATGAAATCGATTATCTGTGTGTTATATTTCTGAAGCATAATGTGTCATTACTGTTACCAACTAACTTGTGTCCAACACTCGTTATTGTTTAGTGAAATGTGATTGACTGCAAAGTTGTTATCGTTGCTTAATAGAATCTCTATGCGGTTAAAGCTTATTTCAATTCTGATTTTGGGTAATATTCTTTTTAGAGTCAGAACCCACAACTATATGCAAATCAGAAGATGATGATGCAAATCCTACGAAAAAGCGTCGCTCAAGATGGGACGATAAACGCGATGAGCCCGAAAAACCTGTTGTGACAAAAGACATTCCAGATGGTTCATTGGCTTCTGCAGTTGCCCTCGCTAAAGCTGCTGCTGCCGCTGCTGCAAAATCCCAAGGTAAATTATGTATGTATACTTACACTTGTGCGTCGGTGGCACAGTGGTTAGGACTCTCGCCAACCATGCTCATGATCCGGGGTTCGATCCCCTGCCGACGCACACCCGATATCTATGGTCGACCTGCAGAACTTGGGCTACCTATATCACATGCTGAAAATTCCATACTTGTCCCGAAAATACGGTGTGGCATCAAGCTGTAGCCAAAATAAAAAATAAATAAAATACGCTTCATAAAACTCAGCCAACTTATGTACTGTTCAACGATACACACTTATTGTGTACAAGTTAGCTATACTTTTTGATAGTATGGTTCACAGTAGGTAAAATGAGGTTTCCATCCATGATCTACTAGTTGGATTATGATCACTTGGACGGACGAAATACACTTGTATCTATCCTTACACAGTACAGAGCATGTTCGCATTCAAGGTTCTGCTTCCTCTTCCCTGAGTTGTTCAGACAGTTTCAATGCATTCGAAGGATTTTAATGTAGTCATTCTTTTTTTCTGTTGCTTGAACGTACTACCACCACCAGATATCAATTCAAGCCAGATTCCAGGTTAGCTTTCAATGCTCTGGAAAGTATAAACCAACTTTTTTGCGCTTACAAAATGCCATCAAAATGTTGAGTAAAGTCACTTGTGGCTTAGAGGAATGTCCCGCTAATAAGATCTGGGTTTCTTTTAGTTCTTTGCAAGTTGTAGATATCAGTTCTGACGGAAAGTGAACATGGTGATCGTACACTTGAAGTGGAACAGTGCCTAATCAAAGATCATGAAGCCTGGTGAATGAATCGTGCACATCGAATGGAAGCAATGTTGCATCTGAAAACCTTCAAAATATTTCAGTGTTGAATATTTTAAGTGACATATGCTCGAATTGTTACTATAGATCCATCTAACGAAACAGATCTACGAAAATACTTAAGACATACAGAACACCTGGTGTAAGCAACTTTACTATGGTTGTTTTCAAACGTAGTGGTGAGTTTATAGTTATAGTGTTAACTAGATTTTTTGGTAAGGTTTGAATGATCGAGGATCCCACTATTGTACTTATCTTTAAATAGGACTTACTTGATCTATGTAACAGTCGTAAGGATATAAGTTTGTTGCCAAGTGTGTCTACTGGCTTCTGTCGTGCTTCTCGGAATTCGTACACCGCTTCAAAAACTAACTTTTAAGAAGCAGTCTGAGTTCCTTGCATATTGTGATGCATTGATCCTCCTGCTATCGCGGGCCAGCACTTGCTACATTTCTTGATATCAAAGCTAACTTCAGTTTGTTGGAATGGAATGTTATTCATTGTTGTCTGCTAGTGGTGTGTTGATAAAAAGTTTATCAACATTCTATGGGAGCTTTGTGCAAAAATATCTCAGGACGACTGGGAGTATACAACCACCTATCATAGTGACTGTGACAGAAGAAACTCATGAAAACCAACCATTAATTTTTTTACTATTCTTGTGGTCGCAGTCTATAAACCTTTAGGATAACCGACTAGTGTTTGCATCGTAATATTTTTATGGCTTCGAATTCCTATCCAAACGAGTCGTCAGTAAGAAGGTAAACAAACACTACTTTCCATTGATTTCAGTTGCCACATCTCATATCCATCAACAAATAAAAAAAAAGTCATGAAAAGGGAGATAGATAACCAAAAGTTAGGGGACTCAAGGTAAAGTAAATAAGGGAATGTAATACTAAAGTTAAATTGAAAACAGAGTGTGAATGAATCTGCACAACTGCAATAGGCTCTGAGGCATAAAATCGGGATATTCCAAGCTTAGGTCCCTATGATCACGATGACGCTAGCCACCTAATTGGCATTGCAGTAAACAACTCAGATCAACAGTTAGTAACCTTGTGGTGAGAGCTGTCTGCTAGCCAAAATTGGTAGACAGCAATTTGCGTCAGTGTTTACGTCCCAAATCTTGGTCATTAGAAAAAGCAAGAACAAAGCCTAACCTTAAAGAACTTAACAACCAGTCACCTCAGATTTAGCGTGGGCGGATACGATTCGTAGATATATCACCAAAAAGAATAACCTTCAGCAGGAAAACAACCAATCAGAAAACGCTGCTTCTCTGCTAACAATAATAATATACATAAAAATCTATAAATATCTGTTGATTTTCTCAATAAACGATCTGTCTCCTGGCCCTTGTCTTCTGTCGTTACGACCTTATGGATTGGTGTCATGTCTTGGTCTGACAGTCTTTTACTTCTATTGTAATCCTACTCACATTAACCGTCGTAGTAGTGGTTGTTGGAGTAGACGATGGGGAACCCATGTAACTCTCATCTCATGGGCCTGAGATGATGGGGATCGATATTTTACTCGATTGAGTTACCTAGTTAACTTAGTTTATGCCTAACTTTCATAAAGCTTACCTCGTAGCTCCATCATACATGCCAAATACTACAAACTTTTTAATTCTTGGTGAATTCCTGTCGGAACGTGCAGAGAATCAAAACATATATATATATATATATATATATATATATATATCTGTTTCTTAAGAAATTACATGCCGTGCGGAAATTTAAACAAAAGTGCGAATACATAAAATAATAATAGTATGAAATGCGATTAAAATGTTTATGTTTATCATCATAGTTAAATGTCGAATGCCAAAACAAATGTCATACATAGAATAGCTGATGGGATGTATAGATTTTGAAAGGAGGTATAACATAGGATTGGTAGGCAAATAAAAATGTTACATAACATGATGTGGGATTTGATAACATAGAATTTAACTTTGCAAGAAAAGTTATCACTTGGAATGACATATGAAATAATACTGGGAACAGTTTAAAGCGAGAATAATAGGGAAGGATATACAAATTGAATAAAAAAAACGAAAAAATAAGTAGTACCAAAGTATGAATGGGGTTAATCATACTCTAGCATAGAAGGATTAAGACCATGGAAGTTGGAGGAGTTGAACAAACTTCTTTTCTGTATACAGATATCTGACTTTGTTATTTCGATGGCCAAAGCTTCACCAATACAGATGACTCAAATATGTAGAGATTTGGGCAAGTTATTTTCCACCTTGCAAATAGCTATAAATGAAGAGGCTGTAGAGATAAAAGGTGACCAGTATCGACCAGATGTTCTAATATTATGGCTTCTTCTTAAAGCCCCACTTCCATTTAAATAGCATTTCATGCTATTATTTTATGTATTCATACCCTTGTTTAAATATTACGAAGGCAACTTTGGTCTTGTCATGTTTTATCTTTTTTGTTTGCAACCGCCTGAGGTGACCCTTATTCAGAATGTGCCTGAAAAAATATTCCGACTTATTATTCTTTGTTTTTTGCTTTTCAGATATTTTCTTTACTCATTGATTTTATTGGTATTTTTTTCTTATACTTAGCAGCAACGTCTTCTACTCCCAATACAAATCAATTTACTGGTGGTGTTGTCCTTACACCTGAGCAAGCTGAACAGATCCGATATCAGAAAGAGGTTTGTCGTGTGATATAATGTCTGTTAAAACCTTTCTTAGTGGGATTGATTGTAGTATCCGTTATTACGGATGTATGTACTGATTCATGTATGAGCTATTTTTGATCTCGTAACAGTACTGTGTTATGTCATTACTGTATGATACTTAAATGTTATATATTCATGTTTCTTCTGTTTCATGTTATTCAAGGGATTTATTGGACCACCTGTGTTTCACTTTGTAACCTGAGAATATCCATCATAAAAGTAGACTGGTTTTCGTGTCCTCCTTTACTTCAAGTGTGATGCAGTGGCGTGGTACTCATGCGTGTACCGAATTTATGAACCGATAAGAGTTCTTTGAGAACTTATCATAAAACTTGGTTTACCGTGCTCAAACTAGCTGTGTTGATTTTTAACACGATACACTCTCCTCAAAAGTTAAGCTCATATACCATTAAGCCACACGAAAGCAACACATGCTAAAAATTCCAATAAATAGGCTTTGTGTTGGAGATTATGAAAAGATATCTCGTTCCATCCAGCTGGACAGTACACAAGTAAGGATTTTTCCATCGTAGCATTCAATGCAAGTCCTTGCGAGCTAGTCGAAGAATGTCTTGACTTCACTCGTGAAGTGAGTTTTTCAGATTCACCATCCCAGTCAGTTGGGGTTAAGTAAATAACTCCACTTGGGTCTTGTATACGTGTCTCCGAAACATAACATACATCCATAGCTCTGGAGATACCAGAGTTTTGACTCTTGGAGCCTGTTCTCCGATTTGGCGAAGTCTTCATGTTAAATGCTCCAATATGAATTTGACAGTGTGATTTTAAAAGACTGTTAGCAGTGTTTTTCTGGCTCTCGTCTCTGCTAATGGTCATAGAGTTAAAAGAAAGCAAGCGACCTACCTACCTGTCGAATAGTATTAATGGTAGGAGGAAAGGAAGCGGATGATACTGACGAAGACAAAAGAGTTGGCTGACGATAAGGAAAACTTTGTGTGTTTATAGAAATGTGTGTGGTTATTATTTCCCGGCTGCCGACGCCGCGGAATTTGATTTCTTATTGAAGCTCCTAGAACATAAGGAGCGTTAGTGTTGCGCGACCACAAAGTCAAGGGAACAACTACTTGAGACCGACCACAGACGACCTGTGTGAAGTGGCTTTCGCAGTTATGTCCGTATTACAGCGGGCTACGGACCGCGGTTCCCGGCCTACCTCTGTGTTTTTCAAGAAGAAAATAAAGAAGAAATGTCGTAGAGGAATAAGTTTTCAGACAGAATGGCGTTGCGTCGTACGACCTATTGTCAGTGGATATTGACTTAAAGATTCTATACGGGGGTTAAATATTTTCAAAGAAATTACGCTGAGAATTCTGTATTGTGTTTAAGCATAATTCCTAGAGTAAAGTTGATATTGTTGTTATTCTAGAGGCACTAAGTTTTCGAGATGCGTCACTTGTTGTGTTCGAAATACCTGACTGAGGCGTCTAACAACGCTTCGTCCTGTTTTTTCTTATTTCTTTATCTGATTCTTCTGTGAAGTGTTTATATACTGTTCCATATTAGTTTGATTATTAAATGTATCACACAGTGAAACAGTATTGTATACTGGATGACGTTTCGAACACAATTTATTGTTCATAATCATATCAATTTAAAAAAAAATAAATAAATAAAAATTGATATGATTGTGGTGAGAGCAGGCTGCTAGCCGATTGGTTGGCACTAATCTACGTTAAGGTCTAGGTCACTAATATGGGCCGTGAGAAAATATGAACAAGCCTGAGTAAACAACCAATCAGAAGCCTGCGTTTGTCTACCTAAACAACCAATCAGATGACTGCGCTTGTCTATAATAATGTAGTTGAAAGATGTATAAATACGTGTTGATTTTCATAATAAAACGATCTGTTGCCTGGCCCTTGTCTTCTGTTGTTACATGATTATGAACAATAAATTGTGTTCGAAACGTCATCCAGTATACAATACTGTTTCACTGTGTGATACATTTAATAATCAAACTAATATGGAATTACTTAATACCACAGTGCCCAAGTTTTACACATATATTTATATACTGTTGACTGGTTTAAACATCCAACCTAACGATTCATATTCAATTCGTGTGTTTCTGTTATTTTATAATTGAATATGTGAGTAATCATTCCTGCTCATTGTTATACCTTCTTTTAGCTCCAAGCTATGCAGGAGTTCATCTTAGCACAAAAACGATCAAAGACTAAAGAAGAAGAACTTATGGCTCGTATAGCTGGTGTCAATTATGGAAACAAAAAAAGAGTTACTAAAGATGGTTTAGTTATTAAGTATGAATATGATTCAGATGAAGATTGTGATGGTGGAACATGGGAGCATAAACTAAGAGAAGCAGAAATGGAAGCAACTAGAGGTATAATTTATACTTGTATATTTTATATTTTATTTTTCTGAGTATTTCAAGTTAATGAATTAGATTATTAGCCACACTTCCTTAGATGATCTTAGTTTGGCTGATTAATAGGTCATATGGGGGGGGGTATAGTTGTTGATTTTGAAGCAAACATCTAAGTGTCTGGAGGATTCATTCCAGTGATGTTTGGATCACCCTCCCAGGACTCCATCAACACAATTCAGCCATCAGTTAAGTTTTTACGTCTTGTATCAATTACAGAGGGCTTTAAAATGCTGTCATTATTGGAAAAGTGACTCTTGCTGTTGTCAGTGTTCTCATTTGAACTTGATACTTCAATATTATTCAATAACTGCATGCAACTTCTTACGTTAATAAGCTACATTTATTGTGCAAGCGCTCATAATGGTACCTGGCTGTTCGAGTTTTGGTAAACAAGACTAAATTGGACACCATGAGACTGGTTAACAATCAGCAGTGTGAAACCAAACTAATGGGAACCCCACAACAACCATCAGTCTACTCATGTATTAAGATGGGAAATAAGATGTTTTCATAATTAAATCAATAACTTGTTATAATGTTATGATGTGAATTGAATACATCTTTACATTTATCATCCTCTGATTTGACTGGTAATAATATCTTCCATATCTCTGATATTTTTGTCGAGTCACTTCTATTGCATGTGTTGGGTGTAGATTCTGTGAACAAAGCTTCAGTAATCAATCTCTCTATCCACCTACCTATATTACTTTTTAGAATTTTGACTCTGTCTCACCCACCTTATCGTGTGGTTGTATGTTAATGCAGTGCGATTGCTGAGTTTTTTTCTAAATTACTTATCTTCGTGGAGTCAATCATTCTAACCTTGTCTAAATTCTTATGTCATCAGTAAATATTACTGCATAACATTGATTTTATCAAAATAAAATTTTATCCATAAGAGACATTCTTTATCTTGATTTGACACTAGTAACTAATGTGATGCGTCTAGTCCTCTGATTGGTGTAGACTGAATTCTATCAGTCAGGTTGTAATGTGACCACCATTCTAGCTAGCTGGCCATCTTTATCTTCTTTATCTTTTAACAATTTTTTGGAAAGATAATTGTTGAAATTAGTGAGAACTTTGGAAATGTAGCCAAGTTATATAGCTTCCTTGAGTGACGAATTACTTATCAAAGTAGAAATTAGCACAAATTTACAAAGGTTGTAGGTGCCACACTTCTCATAAGCATACATAAAAATAAAGGTAATAAAGCCAAAATGGATGGGGAGGAAAATCAGTAAATGAAAATTAGGGGGGATCTTCAGAATGTGGCGCACGAGCAGGAATGAATACATCTGCGCTATTGCAAGTGATTTTGGGGCATGTCATTAACAGTCTCAAGTCGTAGGTTCCTAGCCTCTCTGGTACAACGCCCGGGCAGTGCATACCTGTCCACGTAGCTCAAATCAACAGTCAAATATTTCATGTGTTGATGTCATGTTTATCTCTATCTATCTTTAACTCTTTTTTATCCTAGTCTTCTATAACAGTTAGTATTGCTTTTTGGAGATGGCGCTAGTTCGGAATGCGCAACATATGTCCTAGCTATTTCGGTCAATGGAGCCCATTAGCTGAATTTCTCTCCCTATCCTGATAATTACTGGTATTATTGTGGTACATAACATGAGTGATCGGATTGGTGTGTCTGTGGTCGAAAGCGGCACATCTTCCGTTTTCAATGTCTCTGCATCGTACACGCGTCTTTTGATGGATAGGTAGGTGGATATCACGCCAGCACCAAAGGTGACTAAAGCTGGAAAATCCTAGACAGGTTTCTGTATTTGTGGTGAGATTTCGTCGGAAATCAGACCACTAGGCCTGATGCAATTCCTCAAATAAGTGAATTGGTTCCAACATTCAGTCGTTTCACTCTATATTTCTTAAACCAAGAACCGTGTAGACCAATTGTGCGCCTTGTCTTACGCCTGACAGAGGCTTCGCTACCTGCATGTATCATGATGTATACTATTGATGATCTTCGTGCCATGAGTCTTAAGTGTACCAATATTCTCGATACTGAAAGGGTGATCAGTTTTTGTATTACATTTATCAACATTGTACTTCGATCAAAGGCAGTACACGTGATATAGATTTCGTCGTGTTGTTTTGATTCTTTGAAAACTTATTTGCCTACATAATCTATTTATTCAGACTAATTTACAAATCATTAGTTTATTTTCAAAATGTTTTCATTTTGGAACTCTTTTAAAATGTCTATAATTCTATGACTATATCTGAAATACATTTTATGTTGTCTGTAGAATGGGCTCAGAAACTGACTGAAATGGGTCGTGGAAAGCATCATATTGGAGATTTCCTACCGCCAGACGAACTGGAACGCTTTATGGAAACTTTCCGTGTGAGTTTTATGAGTTGTTTACTTCGTTTTTATTGTTACTCAAATAGTTTCGGAGGAAATGCAGTTTGTCAGTACTGCATTTCCTAAAAGTTCGGAACCTTCATTTTCTTGGATTTCCCATATAATTGCTTTGTACATATTAATGAGATTTTTAAAATATTAATCAAAGTTCCCCTATAAGTTGGTGTATGGGTGCTGGTAGAAGTCAAAGCAAATGAGGCTTCCAATCATACATGGATCGTTAGGGTGACGTACTCAGGCTGAAGTAATCTTTGTTACTGTCTTGGCTGTAGTCTAACTGCAAAAGGCTCCATTACGACTCTTACTTCTATAGACACCAGTTTTTCTGTATTTCCATATAATGGTGACTCTGTCAACTGCGTTTCGGCATAGTACATTTCATTATTCAATAGGTGAAGGTTTTTCTGGTAATACTCTTGAGATGTTCCGATAGCTTTTATGCATATTATTGCCCGTTGTTCATCACTGTGTATAAAAGAAAAGTAGGGGGTACTTGTAGTGTGATCGCTTGAAATAAACAATAGTTGTATTCAGCTGGCATTTCATTGGTGTTTTGTAGCTCGACGATATCTTTAAAGATGTCAGCAAGCGTTATTATGAAGTGTGTACGGTCAAATGTTTAGTCTATGAGATCACCAAATTATTTCCATCTTCCTACTAAGTTACAAATCTCACGTATTATATTTCACAGCGAATGGTTATTACCGTTTAATTTTCTTATTTTCAAAAACATAGGAATCCTCATGTAACAACCATAAAATAAATAATCACTTAATTTCATATGAAATCTATACATAAGAGTTCGGGTATGAAGAGAATCAAACTATTTTCGTAACTGCGAAGTATAATGACTTCAGCAGTCTTATTTATCCTTTCTGTTGGAGTGTTACCGAAGAATTTCCTTCAGTATTTCTATGGATTACAACAGCGAACAATTACTAACGTTTTAAGAAAGAGATGACCCTAATTGTCTACAGATTTAACTCTTGTAAACATTTTCACATGTTGGTGGATTGTTTGTTTGTTGTGCCATTTTTTTTCACAAATTCCACGTATATACGTTGTAGTTTAGAGTCATTTTGTTGATCCTATTGAGAGATGGTGCGCCTAGTATAAGCTGTTTCTACTTGGACATTTTTGAATGAAAACTCTTGTTAAATAGCTTTGTGAAAGGTCAGTCATTTCTGTAGTGTTCCAGAAAATCCAGAGAAATTTGTTCGTAATCTGTAGAACTTTACAACGAGATAAAATCTAATTAGAAGCACCGTCATATCCCCAAAATATGTGCCAGAATCAATTTAGAAATTAATTAATCGAGTTAAAACCAGTACATGAATAAGCGGGAGGCTAATAAAGACCCAGCCTAGTAGGTATTGCCAATCAATAATACATTTGCCAGTCGCAGAATCCAAAATCCTGTCTTTAAGAACATCAATCAACCCTGAAGAATCTAATGAATAATGAGGTTGTTAGGATACTGCTACCAGACAAAGGTTGTAGAGTTGTTGTACGAAATAGAAATGATGATTATGCAAGTACAGTCAAGTTAATTTTAGGAGATTCATCAAATTTTATACTGGACAGTATAAACAAGAATATGGCTGAATTCACAGGGAAACGAATTGCAAGGAGACTGGGAGAACATGTGAAGAAGAAACTAATAAACATTTCAACCCTTAATGATCTCAGACCACAAGGTTTACGCCTACCGTTTATGTATGGTTTACCTAAGATGCATATACGTAATGGTCCAACGAGGTCCATGTTCTTTTATAGTTAGCTCACCTTACCATAAGCTCACTAAATAGTTGATTACAAGTTAGAACCAGTTCGTGAAAGTCTGGCAATAGATCGTTTGAATGACAGCTTTGAATTTGCTAAGAAGTTGGATAGTGCAAACATCGCCAACAAATTCATACTATCATTTGATGTGTCTTCTCTTTGGAACAAACTTTAGAAATTATATGCCAACATTTCGACTTGTCGAGCACCTCAATACGATTGCATTATTCCTCTATTTCAATATTTTTTGGACAATAATTCTATTAGACACTCTCATGTGTGTTTGTGTGTGTGTCTGTAATGTGTGGTTATTTTTGGTTGAGGTATTGTTGCTGATCCCTTTTGACGGCTTTGTTACAAACAATTTAGGACACGCATATCAATCATGGATAATTCACCGTGACAGTTAATGTATATTGTTGGCGATATGAGCTTTCGACGACTCTATCGTATTTAAATGGTATCATTTAAGGGAAATTGAATATATGGAGCAAACATATTATCTTTTCTATTAGCTCCTCAAACCTTATAGAGTTCTTTGCTATGTTCCCACTCTCCTATCTGAAACCGTCTTAACTGTTAGTTTGTTGATGATGGTTTTTATTACACAGGGAACGCTACTTAGTGTAGTATTTATAAGTAGCTATTTTGACAATGTCTACTGATATTTACATAAATTGTAATCAGTGATTGCCAATTTAATCAATTCTGAGCTTTTAAATCAATAACTGTCCAAGTTCTCTATATATTCTAGTGGGAAGCCGTGACCGGTAGGGTACAGCAGGTTGAAGATGAGGCAGTAACTCATCGAAGAAGACATTGCGAAATGGTTGCACGATGTCGTGAATTGTCAGAAGTTAGAATTCAAGAACTATTGGATCGGGTCCCAGTGGCTCAATGGTCTACGAGCTCGCCTTGTAACCAGAAGGACCTGGGTTTGAACCTCCTGTGGTCGGTGCGTACTGATGAAGAGTCCAAATTAGAGGAAACAACTGTCCAGTACCCCCAGCTCATGATGAAATCCTCCATCGATCAAACAAAATCCCTACAAAACCAATCCTTGAAAATTTAAAGAATCCTTTATCTATTTTATTTTCATGCATAGATCTTAGCGTTTGGTTACTTTGTCATATTGCAGAAATCAAACTGATGCATTCTTTTACTAATCCCTAGTATTATATTTTTTCACATCTAGGCATTAAAAGAAGGTCGTGAACCAGACTATTCTGAGTATAAACAATTCAAGTTAACTTGTGAAAATGTTGGTTTTCAAATGTTAGAAAAAATGGGTTGGAAAGAAGGTGAAGGACTTGGAGTTGATGGTCAGGGTATTGTTAATCCGGTTGACAAGTAAGCGCATTATCTTCGAATTTCTGTTCATTGAACATTTCCAATAATTTCATTTCGTGAATTTTTAAGGTGAAGATTTCAACTCAAATATTTTTTTGTTTATTTCTTTTTTTTATAAAGAGGAAATGTTTTCGTTGAAGGTGTTGGCTTAGGCGTTGATCGTCCGTCTAAACTTATCAAGGAAGATGATGAATATGATGCCTATAGAAAGCGTATGATGCTGGCGTATCGATTTCGTCCAAACCCTTTAGTAAGTGAACTGAAATAAACAGAGTTATTCTTCTAGGATTTATCGCTCATTGTACTTATCACTCACTTTTGAATAGTGACATTTTATTCTCAATCCATTATTATATTATTTCGTTATTCGTTGAATGTACAAGGCTACAGAGCTTTGGTGGGGTGAATTTTAAATGAACTCCGTATATCGAAAACTCTATTAACTTTTCTGTAGTAAATTATCATTATTTTCTCATTCCTTGACGTCCGAGTAGGGCATAGAGCTTCAAGCTTTGGAATTTCAGTAGCGGATAATGTTGTTTTTTTACGGGTGAGTTTGCTAGCTTCATCCCCAACACGCCCTCATTTTTGAGCCCTCTTCTGACTAGGCGTGGTTTAGGGGTATGTTAGCCGGGAGTCGAACCTTGACCTCCTGCTTGGCTAGTGAGCATTCATTCTACCACTGAACCATCGACGTGTATTTCTTATGACGACAGAGTAGATTTTTTGTAGATATGTTGACAGTCGCTGGTTTTATCACTATGTGTAGCATTCCGTACTTAGCAAACACCTAATTGTGTTGGTCGGCGATGATTTTAGGTGTGGTAAAATCCACAACAATCAGTCTAAGCCAATCACGTGGGAAGGTGTAGACTTCCTGGTTTGGGTCCTAGGGATGGTGAAAACCAGTGACGGCTGGAGAAAATTCGTGATATGGCTCAAAATCATTCTCAGTGGCGCAGGTGCATTCACTCTCTGTGATTTATAATATCCAATAAAATTCTATTGTTTTTCCATGTTACCATTCCCTTTGCCTCATATTTCTCTTTATTATCCCTGCTTTGAGTCTTTCTCTACTCTCTTCTCTTGCTTTGTGTGGTACATGGAGGGAGTTTAGCAAGTCGAACTGTTGCACATCTGTGCAAAGTTCTACGTTGAAACCAGTTAGTCAGTCAGGTTGTAGGTGTATTTGTACTTCATTTGGCAGTGAATATGTGGTTGATAAATATACGCTAAGACCAGAAACCGTCTTACCGTTTGCATCTTTGTTTTGTTTCGTCTAGTTTTGAGCCTAACAACACTAGATAATATCAGTTTTCTTCAGAGCGAGCAAAGTTATCATCTTCCACTGTCATTTTGGTTCAAAATACAATTTAGATGTTTTTGTAATCGTGATGAACTCAGAAAGATATTCTAGTTGGTGTATTACTTCTCTCTTTAGGTCATGGATAGACGCATTCATGAAGCGGTGTTTAGTCTTCCTCTCAATACTTGCCCTTCACACCTTCGCCGAATCCCTTTCACTAGCTGTCTGGTGGTTCTACTTTGGAAAAGAAGGTGTTCATCTGAACACACTAGCAACAGGCAGTTGTTATTATTGATTCGTCGAGTTGAAACTCCAGAAGTACTTTCTGCCTACCTCCCTATTTAAGCACTAAAATTTACTCATACGAATAAACTTTAGAATGTTTGGCACTTTTTGCTGTAGGTCAGACAGTTTGCGTTAGAAATTATCCTTTAGAACTTTCTAACCAGTCAGTGTGTGTTAGTGTGTGAGTTTGGGCAACGATTACAAAAGGTGAGAACAGGCTGCGTTTGTTGTTACTTTTGACAAAATCATTTGCTCGGACAGTGTAAATGTGTGACTGTCAATTTACATCCACTTGATACCCTGGGATCCAATGCTACACGTACAAATAGTAAGTTGTAAGAACTAACATTTTAGAGTGTTGACCCAGTGTTTTTTTAAAAAAAAATTCATAACATGTCATGCAAATGTTTCAAAAATATGTAATATTGTTTTGTTTTAATGATTCATTTTAGAATAATCCACGACGGGACTATTATTAACATCAACATATATTATCGTTACACAGTGAGTATTCCTTGTATTTATTACCCTGTGGGAAAGAAACAATGGCAATGAAATAAAGTTTTATCAATCTGTGATTTGGAAGTATAAACGGTCGGGAATATTTTCCCCGTAATACTTATTTACATCGTTCTGTGAAACTATGTTCTTTAATAAGCATACTGGGCTTCCACAAATTCATCTGTACATGTAAAAAGTTAACTATCAAATGATGAAATATAACACGTTTTTTTAACTTATTCTACTTGTTTTTGCTCTGTTTGTTGCTTGAAATTATTATGCAGAATAATTGTTCATACGTATTTTCAAATCAAAATACTGCATAGAGTTTGATGTGTATTTTATCCTTATTTTTGTTTTTACTTTGGAATTAATATTTCTGAAACATTGTTACGTTATAAAGGGAGGAGAGTGGTAGCTTTAATGGATGGTATTAGTTTAGTTGTCTTCTGAGAGCTGGGTAGTTCAGTTACCTAATAACAACAGCAACAACACATCACTATGTCACTCTTTCCCTGCAGTTCGTTTTCGTTGGCTCCACGCTTTTCTATAAACTCTGGTCTTCTGCTCGCAAAATCTCCTTCAGATTAACCTCGGATACTCCACACGTCGCTTTTTGTTTGGGTTCCATTCAGGAGCTTAGCGCATGATCCCACTGAACGGTCTCAACAGTGTACTTGTAATCCACCTCGACTTTTCTTTCAGAATATTTGTTGGGCTATAGGTTCTCGCTTAATTTGTTTCCAGAGTTCCTTCTTGTTTATCATCCTGATCCTGTTTTTTATGCTAAGTACAGTAGATTTCCACATGGATTTTCCGATCCTGCCTTTAATATAGTTATCTGTGCCACCACCACCCGTCAATGAAACGATGCTGCCCAGATAAGTGAAACAGGTGTCTATCTTTCTCCCGTTTCTCCAGTTGATGATGATTGGCACAGTCTGCTAAGCGTCTTCACCATTTACCTTCTCTATGTTCACTTGAAGTCCTGTCTTCTCTGCCTTTTCTGTCAATTTGTTGGTTTCCACCTGTAGATCTTTCGAGTTTGTGTGATATCAGACAATAGAAAAGAGAGTTCACGTTGTCTTACATACACCTCTCGATCTTTTCATCTTCATAATTCCAGGTTAATAAACATTCACCCTGTTTAATATTAATTATTCTTCAGCTAAATGGGTAGCTAACTGTAGAAGCTGGTGAAAAAGCTATTGAAAAACAATATGTATTTGTCATTTCCCACTCACTGTTTTAAAATTGATTTCTGTTAAGTAAACACATATATGAGCTTAATGATTGTACTTTATAATCAAAGAAAAAATTTATCATAGGGTAGAATTTGAACTGAGAAGTTTTGGCTTAAATTATCTTATTGTCTACTACTTGTAAGGTTATATGTTTATCTCTCTCTCTGTCTCCTCTCTGCGTCTGTATTCTGTTCTCCAATTTCTGGCATTCACATTCGAGTAATGGTAGGTTCCGGAGAAAATAGCTCTATACACGTATTCCCTTTTCTCCCGACCAATAGTCGCTACCTTGACGTAGTGTAGGGCTTGCTCATCGCGATGATCCAACAAGCTACACTGCCTGGAACTATTGTTCCTGCAGGTCCTACCATGCCCGGAAGGTTGTTAGGATATCGATTAGACCAAAAGCAGTTACCGGCATTGTGTAAGTCTTTCTTACACTATGCTGGGGGTCTGTGCGCGAAGTCTTACTGTTGGGGAACAGGGATGTAACAGCAGTAAGGTGTTTCCCTCGAACGACCAGCATGCCAGCTAGCTGTGCTGTCTCTCCACTCTGGAGAGAAGGGGTTAGAGAAGGTCGACCACAAAAATTGTGCATCCCGACTTACTCCTCGGTGATCCGCTGCCGGCGGTAAGTTACTAACACGGAAGCCAAACCCAAAAGCCAGCCCAAACAGGTCGTGTGCGAACGGCCTCAAGCAGTTGTCTCCTGAGCTCTGCTCGGCGGTTATGCAACACTCACACTCTTTCTGTTTTAGGTACCCCAAGAAGAGGTCAACTTTCATGGTGTGGGCAGCTGGGAAGTAACAACCGCCCACATACTTCCAAAAGCACACAAAGCCCTCCTGAGCATCATTCTCCCTTTTACTCCCTTTTCTGAATATGAAAAAGGGAAAAATATTATTCTTACTTTTCTGTGGTGGATTGAAAGTGTCGTTTATTACACCACTCAAATAAATGTGTTTGTTTTAATAATAGAATTACTCATTTTCACTTTTGTTCTGTATCTGTGAAAAATCTTAGTTTCACATATTTTTTAACGAAAAGCTATATAGGCCGTATGAAAGTGCCTTATGATTATTTATCTAATGAAAGAATGATATCTCATCAATCAACCTTATTCAGGATATATAAGACAATTCAATTGTGTTTGGACAAGAAGCGTATTCTAATGAATTAGAGTAGACTATAGTATGTACTTCTAGAATTTCTTCAAACCAATCATAATCACATAACTCCTAAAGAAGTGTAGCGTTACAGAGGACTGAAGAGAGAGAGAGAGAGTGAATTTCTTTCATCATATTCATCAGTAAGCAGTATAGAAATTGATTTGAACGCCCTGATTACAAGAGATTAATCTCTGAACTGATTTCCTAAAGTTCTATAAAGTCCACCAAGTTAGGTGTGAAAACGATTGGTCACCGTTGACACTCGTTGGTCATTGAATTTGCAGTTACTGACTGAGTGGTGATATACTCATCTTACAACCGAAAGGTTTAAATCTGGATTCTTTCCAGCGTCATGATTGTCTAAGATGAAGCAGTGATACAATAATACTCACTGGTTTTTCAATATATATTTCAGCTGATATCGGTTTCTGACGCAAACAAGATACTTATAAGCCCAACAGCTGAAATTTTAATAATCCAAACTTACTAAATCTGAGTGTATCTAATTAGTGTTGAAAAGGAAGCCGGAAGTGCATAATGCATTTTTCACTGTCCTTCTGGTTGATGAATATTTTATCATATGGGGATAGAGATTGATTTTGTAAAGAACTGTGCTTCACATAGATGAATTAGTTGGAAAATATTTGCTTATCATTCATATCATGTTCATTTATTACTTGTTTAGCCGTAAACTTAGACACCCAAAAAGGTGGTTTCTATTCTGAGAGACCGTTGATATACTGACTTGATACCGGAGCAGATAGTTGTGTTAAGTGGCGATTCATAACCTAATAAGAAAAAGTCCAGTTGTATTCTCGTGGTGTTACCGCCGACCAAAACACATTTCCATGCAATTAGTCGACTTTGGATCCCACAGTCTACATATAGCACTGTTTTGAAACGACAATGTACCAACTCTTCCAGCCTAAACCCTATATTCTTGCCAGACTGGTAATGAACAGCAAACCTTCTTGTTTTACTTTTCTTTGTGAAGATAGTGAATAGGACATAGTCGTCAGAGGCTGCGAATCTCTGGCTATGTGAGAGGATTTCGAGGAAGGACCTACTACGGCCGACGGTGGGTAGACCTCGGTCTTCCTCTCGAAATGCTGTCATGTAACCACACTCTCATAGCCTCTTCCAGGTAACTCCTATTCACTGCCTTCACTCAGCAAGGGTGTTTCTCACAAAAGTGAAAGGGCGAATTTGAACGTCCGGCGTTTACAACCGAACTAGTGAACGTATGGATCTACCTAGAGGAGCTGGAAAACCGTGATTCCGAACTATGGCGAACGTGGGCTCCATAATCCTAAAGGATCAGATGGCGTATGAACCTGTTTTGGTCACCAGCAACCATGGGAACGCTGCTCCACTGCCTTGTGGACCGCAGTTCAAGTTACAGGCTCACGAGGTGGTCTCTTAAGGGAACCACCTGCTTCGGTCTGGGCTCCCGGGCAGTATCCTAGTCCCACAAAAACTGTGAGCTTTTGTGTGGCACATTTGATTAGTAATTGAGTCTTATCGCTGAGTTAACTGAGTGCATTATCTTTAATCTTCATACTGACTTTTCTCAATTCAGATTTTACTGATATTTCAGACTCATATTATATTATGTACTGCTGCTTTCTGTGCAATAAGCTTTATGTAAGTGAGAGACAAGCAATACTTTTGTAAGGATTAATACAGATTTTATATAACCTAGCATATTTATTGCCTTGCTAATACGTTACGCTTACATCTCGTTTCAGTTACATGTTCTGTGTGTGTGTTTATCGCATTAAACACCCGAGACTATGTTTTTCCCCTAATATTTCGGTTGTGGAAATTTAGCTTATTTCAATGTAAATTTTTTTTTTTATTTGTCTTTCTAACATTTAGCCTTTCATGACTTGTCAAAATTCTGTCAATTTCTACTGTAATTACTTATCCATTAGTCTTATTATAATGAATAAATAGAAATACAACAGTTGTATAACAGTGTGAGTGTGTGACTATGTCACAACAAGCAGCTTCGTCTGCTACTGAACAGTGTGCTGTTGGCAGTGGGACTACTAGTATTGGTGGCCCGCTTGGCTCTCCTATGTCATATCAACCAGTGTGTCAAAGATGTTTTAATCCATTGCAGTTGGATCAAGATTTTGAACACTTGCAAAAAACAGAACTTATGACTTTGTTAGGTGAGTTATCTTGTGCTAATATTCTCTATAATTGTTTCACCTTATAAATGTTTTTTGTTACACTTGTAAATACCGAGCACTTCGATCCAGTCAATTCTCGGGAAAATCTAAAATTCAGTTGAATAATTAATATGACCCGTTGCACAAGAGGTGGCTCTAGTGGCCCAAGTGGTCTAGGGGATAACGCTTTGGCGTTTGAAACTATGGGCACTGGGTTCGAGTCTCGGTGGGAACATCATCACTTACCGACTGGGAAATGCAGGTACATCCAGATGGTGAGTCCCAAATAGGACGAAATTCGCATCTTGGATTCCGCTGCTAGTCACCATTCACAAATTAAATTCTAATTAAAAGTGAGTTTGCATAAATTCGTTGCAGACCTAAGAAGGATAGAAACATTTGACATAATAAAAGATTATGGCAACACAAAAATGGTTCACGGATTTGAAGAAAATAGAACACAAATGTTAACGAAGAAATCCGATATAATATAATGACACAGTTGCTTTCCTGTGACCACATGATATATTTTTTTTCCTTCACGTTCCCAGTGGAACATAGGGCTTCAAGCTAGTGGCTTGAAGTTTCTGTAGCAGTGTTTATTTTTTACAGGATGGGGTTGCTGGCCTCATGCCCAATCTTCCCTCTCTACCAGCATTACTTCTGGCTTAGCGAGGTAAAGGAATGCATCGGCCGGGGATCGAACTCGAGACCATTTGCATGGTCGGCGAGCGTCCTAACCGTTGTGCCACCGACGCACACATGATATATGATGGTTGCTATTTGCTAACTGGAGCCGTAGATTTCTGAATAATGAATGATCAGGAATTGAATATAGTAAAAAAGAATGTAATTAATCAGTTATTCGTAAAATCAGTTGTACCTTTTGTTCTATGTTATGTACTATCCAGGTGTTGTCTAATTATTTCTTCACATGATCTATGATAGACAGTCTAGTTCTAACCTAAAGTTAAGTGATATTGTGTATTAGGCTTTGAAGGAACATGGTTGATTTTTTGGAGTAGGATTCAGCAAGAATCATTATCGGCTAGAGTACAACCGAAATCCTAGGAGTACTTGGTAGCTATTTCCTTCTGTCTCTGCAACTCTTCACAGAGAGAGTTTCCGGTCTCAATATCATCAGGTTATTATTGAACAAGAACATTGTAATGCAGTCGGTTAGTGATGTTATATTCCAGAGAGACGTCGATTACTGAAGCTTTGTTCACAGAATCTACACGCAACACGTGCAGTAGGAACGACTCATCACTCATACCAGAAATATGGAAAATATTACTACCAATGAAATCAAGAGATGAGAAATAGCGGAATCATATAAACGAAGTTGATAAGTTGTGTGAGTGACTTGATATAATTATGAGCAGCAATAAATTTTGCTCGGAACGTCGTCATCAGTAAATATTACTGCATAACATTGTGAGAGTTTGATGATATTAGATGGTTGGAGGCAATCGGCCACAGGAAGCCTTGAATCAGGGTTTCGTGCTAGTTGGCTGTCGTCAGGTAGGTTTATCCGAATCCTTGAACGAACTCATATCCCCTCTGAGATTCAAATTCGCATCACCCAATGCTGCAGTCATAAACGTTACCATTGAACTGGTGATTGACCTCCTGTAGGACTGTAGGAGATACTTTTATTGGACACTTATAATTGGTGTGATGCGTTTAGTTCTTTATTTGGTTCAGACTGAATTCTTTCAGTCTGAATAGCTCATTAGTAACATCTCTGACTGCAGCACTGGTTGACGCGGTTTCGGATCTCAGAAGGACATGAATTCTGGCGAGGTTGTAGATACACCTTGCTGACGAGTGCCAACTAGCACGAAACGCAGGTTGAAGGCTTCCTGTGGCCGATTGCCTCCAACCATCTAATATCATCAAATCAATGTGCACCGTGATAGCGAGCTACCTAGAATGGTGGCCACATTGGCAACTTGACTGAGAGAATTCAGTCTGCACCAAAGAAAAGACTAAACATATCACACTAGTTACTAGTGTCCAATCAAAGTATTGTGAGACTATCAAAATAATTTTTTTTATCTACAATGCAATTATAGTCTGTCACAGTGCACACTCTCTTTTCCGAAAAAGCAGATGATTGTGGTATCCCAGATTCTTTATACACAATGATATAAATAAAGTTAATCAATGCTTTTCGATGGTTTTTTTCCAGGGTTATTTGGTGAGTAGGAGTGTATACACACTAAATTAAGGTGTATTATAGTTATTTTTGTGTGAACACCTGTTTGATATATACCCACAATTGATCTCATTTGTCTACCGGCCTGGTAAGTGTGTCTACAGCCTATCTCATTAGTATGTTAGTCACGTGAAATCCAATCATGTGCTGTTTCATTGTGGGAGTCAACTAATCAGAATCCAGCATGCAGTTGACGCCTATTATTTGAGTCTTGTGACAGGATCAATATATGCAATATATTTTTGTAATCCTGGTCACTTGCTTACTTGTTTTGGAAATACAAGTTTCCAACCGTATTGTGTGGGTATATTCGACCAGGAAAATTGTTAAGTGTTCATTGTCGTGAATTGGCATTCGTACTCAAACTTGGCTACCTCATAAAATAAGCTTATGTTTTACTTTTAAATCGCTCGGTCTTATGATTAGCTTTCTACACTTTTCTCCTTCGAAATTTACTTCTGATATGTCACTGTATTGTCTGTGTCAATTGCCTTGATTAGTACTAGTTAGCCAGTAGTAGTATGTCGTCCAGTTCTTATCGTTGACAGAAGTTTTATGCTTTTGTCCCATTAGTTAGTTATCTGACACTTCCCCAGTACACGTCTTATCTCTAACGCCATTCTAGTCACTGTTCTACGAATTAATAAAAGTTTTGTAGTAGTTATTGTATCCCTCCCATAAGACTGACACACTGACGTGTAGACCAGCTGACGGCATTATGGCACAGTGTTGTTATAACTCATTTTTCTAACATACTGTACTTCATTTAGAGTAAGTAGCAAATATACGGATACATTCATTCCAATATAAGCTGAATAATCTCAGATAGTTGACTTATTAAGCCATATTTTCTCATTTCTCAGTTAAAAAGAGAGTAAAATCGTTGTTCGTATTTACACACCGTGTTATTTGTGGTGTACCATCTTTAGAAAGATTATTTGTACACTTTTTTAAAAGTTGCTGTTAGTCTAAAAATTATGAGTAGCATTAATGAGCATAATTTCTAACGTATTTCTTCTTGAAAGGCCAAGTGAAAAGGTTGTATGGAAAAGTCATTGTTTTAGCCTTTTATAGCGTAAAAGTCATCTCGCTTCGTTTGTACGCCTTATCACTTCAGATATCCATTTGAAAATCTTTGACCTCCAATAAACTTCCGATTGAAAAGTGCCTAAGCTTCCCTTTTTGTTGGTTGTAGTACTGATTTTTTGATGTTACCTCCCTGAAATGCTACTTTTCACAGTTATTCCAAATTTTTTCTTCAAACGTGTTTTTATCAGGAATTTATCTTTCTTTAAATGATGCGGAACGTGTTGAGTAGCTACAAAAGGGATTATCCTCATCATTTCTATTCATCCATCCTCCTTTCCTTTCACAGAACGGCTATTATGAAAGATGGGACTTCAAGCTTTGAAGTTTCAGTAACCCCTTTGTTGTCTTTACGAAGTGATTGGTTGGTAGCCTCATACCCGACCTTCCGTCTTTTCGGAAATTACTGACGGTGTGGCGAGGTTGTAAGGGTGCGCTGACCAGGAATCGAACCCCCGACCACGTACGTGGTCGATGTCCGTTCTACTCCTGATCCACCAAAGCACCAAAGGGTGTGTGGTGTAGACCGAGTTTAGGGGATGTTAATGTCTTTACAGAATTTATAAAGAACGTAAAGCTGTTCTGATTTTTGCATCGACTGAAGATTCTAAACGGCATGCTAAGACTGAGCATTGTAAATTACTCTTACAAGAGAACATAACTGAAAATGTCCACACACACACACACACTAGGCCTGCTTTATACTTTTAAGTGAGGTCATCTATTTAGTCGTCGCATAGTTCAAAACGGTGAAATCGACCACTGAATAATAGGGCTTTTTCGCTAATTACCTTGTCCAGAATCAGAATCACTTCACTAAAATCAATATCAGAAATAAAAAATCAACGCATTTGACATATTCACTGTGTCCAAGTTATTCTACAAACCTCATTTTGACATAGTCTTCAAATAATGAATCTCAAGCAGTTCCGACATTTGCCAGGAATCAAATTATCCGCATCACCGACTGAATGGTGCAATATCTTTATCATTTGAAAGGCTTTTTACTTCGTGTTACTTAAGTAACATTTACTCAACACTGAATTCATTTCATAGATGGTCACTAGCAGTGGTATCCAGGATGCGAGTCTCGTCGTACTTGAAACTCGTCATCTGGATGAGCTTGCATTTCCAAGAGAGAGAGAGAGTGATGGTGTTCCGACTGGGACTCAAAACAAGTACTCATCGTTTAAGACTCCAAAGCTTTATACACCGGTCCACGTGGGTGGTTCAATCAAACAACGGGAAAATTAAAATTAAAGTAAAAACGAATATTAACTCAGGATGTTTTGAAGCTTATTGTCAATCAATCAACCGTAAAATATTTGACTTGAGTTTTATTTTAGAATCTAATTAGTTTAATAGTCAGTAAGCTTCTGTTGTATTCCAAAATATTTTATTGTGTGACACTGGATCATGAAATAATTCATGTGTACCTGAGACTTACAGGAAACCAGACCAAATAGGCATGACTTAACTACAATTCAATGTTTCAAATTAATTCAGTCATTGGAATATTGATTTTATCTTCGACATGACACTTACTGTATATTATACCCAATATCATGGTTAATCATTCCCAACTAAATATTAATTTATGTGTATTCATTTCACATATGAAGGGCGTTCGGTGCCTAACGGAATGATGGTTTACAAGTAATCCATTCCGTAGCAGACTTAGCTCAATATGCCAGGTGGATATCAGTCTGTACCTAGTGTTCGATCAAAGCGTTGTATAGATCCTACATGAGGTCAGTCACGAGCCCGTATAGCTCATTGGTGGTAACGTCTCTAACTGAAGCATTGAGAGTGACGTGGGTTCAAGTTTCAGAGGAGACACGGATTCTTTCGAGGCTGCAGACACAGCTTGGTGACTGGCGAATGCCAACTAGGTCTAAGACTTCCTGTCGACTGCTCCAACCATCTTAGATAATGTCAAGCTTATGGAGATCATGTTTTCTTTATGTAGTTAATATGAATCTTGTCTTTAAGACCATGAATCTTATCAGAATGACAGATGTTTCTATATGATAATTATTGTATTTATTTAGTTGTTATATCAGTGACATCCTGGATACTCTGTGTGGGTAAAAGGATAATATTTTTTCTTGTTAATGCTTTAATTTTTACTTTAAATTGTAGACGCTACCAGTGCAACTGATGGTGAAGTGCGTGAACCGATAAATTTGGTACCTGTGAGAAATCCAACAACTCCCCGACCACGATTTATTGTGCCTCCCAAGTAATTATGGTCTTGAGGTCATCTATTTTGTGTCTTTATCGTTCATATTGTTCCTTTTAGACAATTTTGAAATGTTTATGATTGTGAAAGATCTTAGTGTTGTTCCTTTTGCCTCAAAATGTGATAAAGCAAACAATAATACCGCCAGATTTGCCACAGACAAACGTTTACGCAATTTTTGAGTTACATTATGTATTATTTATTCTGTGGTCTTTTTATTAGTGATGTCTAAATACCTATTGATTTCTTCACTGGGATCATCATCAGTAGCAGCAGAATAATGCGAAATTGATAATTAATGCACCTTAGGTGAAAAAGTAACCCCTAACGATCCAGATACATCTTATTGTTATTTTGTCCTGGTGTATTCAAGTAAATTGAACTGAAAGGCATTTTTACAGAAGGGTTTATCTACGTGATATCTTCACAGTTGACAGTCTCATTGAATGGACGTTTTTTAATAAGTGTTTTTCTTCTTATGAGTTGATCACGGATTGATATCAGTTAGAGAACCGTTGAGAATCAGGGAGTACTGGACAGCTGTTTCGCCCTACTTTGGGAATCATCGGCAGTACGCACCCACTGGGGTTACAACCCAGCACCTTCCGGTTACAAGGCAAGCTCGTATACCATTCAGCCACTGGGATCTGATTCTATGGCCCATGAATTCTTACTTCTACCAATTCGTGATTTAGCGTGACCACCAACCAATGTCATCGGTGGGACATCCATGCTCACATTTGACTGGATGCACCTCACTGGTCACACGGCTTTTCACTAGAACTCCAGGAAACTCCGTTCTGTAGCATATTATGGGTTCATTTAATCCTTTACTGGATGACCTTAATTTTCTGAAGGCAGTCAGAGAGAGAGAGAAAGACGTATGCATGCTACCGCAAACACTTTAAATTTGAGGTTTTTCAGATGGTACTGGCATTAAATTTTTGATTCTACTTATTTATGGCTATTTGAAACTTTCAGCATCTGCATCGTTGCAATATCATTTTATAGTACCTTTTAAGTCCACAGATGTGTGTTGCATTTTTGAACATGGAGATGTGTTTCACTGATCTAGACGCTTTAGTTTCAATCAAAAGGTCACAGGTTCGAATTCCTCCCCAACAACCACCTAAGTTTTGCCTGCAAGGTGGTGATAGTATCATCAGCTCTCATACATTAGGTGTGGCTTATCGTCGACTGCATGGACATACAAATGGTTGTCGGATAGTAACTGAAGTGACCTAACTTTCTTAAGTTGGTATATTTTAATTGTTTCACACCCACATTTTATGAAAATGAAGGTGTGTCCATTTGTAATTCATGTAGAATCTTTAAGCCAGGAACATTTCCACTAGTTACTTTTAATATCTACACTATGCGTTATTAGAAGACGGAGACTATCTGAAAAATGTGATGTATTAGCGCTATACATTTCGAACAATCTGATCACACATTTACTTGTCAAGTCAATATATATATAGAAAGGTTAAATTAAACAAAGTGAGAGAAAACGGAATTAAGAATAATTAACACAAACGTTTGGTAATCCAATCAAATAAGGGGCGTTTACTGAAATACACTGAGGCTATAGCTATTCATAGACTTAAGCCCCCCTTCTGTGTTCAAAAACAGTTTGTCATTACTCTTAACCTACCTTGGTAATCCTTATTTGATTGGATTACCAAACGTATGTGTTAATTATTCTTAATTCCGTTTTCTCTCACTTTGTTTAATTTAACCTTTCTATATATATATTGACTTGACAAGTAAATGTGTGATCAGATTGTTCGGAATGTATAGCGCTAATACATCACATTTTTCAGATAGTCTCCGTCTTCTAATAACGCTATCAAAATTTATAAAAGGGACTAATTGTTTTAAATCTACACTATGATTTATAAGTGTTAATATAATAATCACCGAATATACTCATTGAATCGTGAAGAAAATAAATAAGAGACAATTCAGCGAAGAGAATTTCCTTTGTCTACGAAATCATCCTCAGAGTCTGTACAGTCGTATTTATATTTACCAAAAATGTATAGTAGTCCATTATTGAGTAATAGGGGTTGGATGGGTGACATAATTGTTATAATTACTTAAAATATAACAGTTATATGATAATATAGTAGTTTTTCTGTTCACCTCAATACTTTAAGAAAACTATAATGAGCAAACAAACTCAAACACCTGGTTATTGTTAAACAGACTGGTAAAATTTGGATATTGCATTGAGCTGCCAAACTCAAACTGTATGTTTAGTCGAATAGATGGGGACTGTAACAGCATAAAGTGGGCATGTAACTGTGCCATTCAATCACATAGTGCTGATGGTGTAAGACAACGGAAAAGACTGAAAGATAACGGCTAAGTTATTCAAAAGACAGGATTATGAGTGAACACATTTGTTCTAATGCATTCAAAGTAGCCTAGCCGGAAGTCGTTCGTCTACGTTGCTAATCTATTCCAACGCAATAGAATAAATTTGTCCTAATTTTAACTCACTTATCCTTTGTAGCATGTTGTACATAGTCAGCCGACACATACAAAGGTTTGGATACATTTACACTGAGTTATTGGGATAACGTAAGAAAATTCTTTATGCTGTCAGTCGGTTAGATAGATGGTGGCTGAGACAGAAGGGCTCAATCATTCGCATGCATACACATTAAATTGTCTAATTGTGTGGAAATTCACATATCAACACGAATAGTTTCGCAAATTTAAGTTTCTTTAGTTGTTTTGGTTTTTTTCGTCCACAATATTGTTATTATCGTTCTTGTTTACTTTTCATTTAGTTTTCTACTGGAACAGTTTTATTTTCTATTGATTGAAAGAAGTATCGATTAATAGAAGTAATCAATAGTCTGATGAAGTGCTTTTCTTTTCAATGTACAATGGAAACTGGTTATTATTATTGTTTGTGCTTCTCAAGAAGTTGAATGTTCGCTTTACTATTTTATCTCGCTTTAGTGAAAAAAAACCAAATTTGTTAAGTTTTTATTTTGTTTGTTTTGTTGTGATTTTCTGTCATCCAGTTCAGCGTTATCCTTATTGAATGATGATGAAGATCCTCTTGAAACTCTTCAATCTTATGCTGGACCAACATCAAGCCTTGATCATCGATTGAAGGTTAGTTGTAGTAGCATAACTCAAGATCTGTGTTGTAAACTCCATAGTTTAAAACAATTAAAATGTTTGTATGATAAATGTAATGTGTTATCGAAATATATTGCAAAATATTTGTTCACACATACACACGCAACTACCTGTCATGATGAAGGAATGCAAGGTCAGCTGGACACTAATCATGGTAATGTAGTCAGAGATTATCAAGATTGGTTAAGTGTAATGAAATAAAAAACCTGGTGGATGAATAGTCAATGAGCTGGCCGCATAACCTGCAAGTCACTGATTCGATCCCTGGTGGGATTATTGATACACTTTGCTGAAGAGTTCCATAGTTGAATGAAAAGCTGTACCTGGAGTGCTCCTTGGTTTTCAATGGCTCTTTAAGTGATGTTGATTGTGACGAAATCTATACTGGCAATAATAAATTGTTTCACACATACAAACATACGAGGTTTTCTTTGAAGGATACTTTCGAACTTGTGGGCTACCTTAGTCGCCATGAATATTAAAGACTGATTTACGCTTTTTATTGGAGAGATGTTGTTTTAAATGTTTGTGTCTTGGTTTTGTTCAATTTCTTTGGTAATGACCTCTTTGTTTGTAGGCGAATCATCTGTCATTCTGGTTTACCCTCGTCCCAGAGAAAGTCACCTGCTTCATCAGTTCTGCGCTCTATTGTCCTATCTGTTTGATTCCTTGGCATTTGTTTACCACCGTTGTAACCGTTCGACTTATTAATTGTCTCGTTACCTTCCTCGGTTCACCGACATCCCTGGATGTGCTACAGCTACTAACTATACCTGAAGGGCAACAACATTAGGGACACATCGTATAAAGTGAGAAGCTAGTACACTGCGCTTGTGAACATTCGTCTAAAGTGGGTAACAGTTGTCCAAGAAAATTTGCAAACGTTATCTTGAAGGAGTCTATGGCTGCTAAATCTCTTTAATGCCTCCTGTCTCTCTGTACCGATATCCAACTCTGAAGTCAGCCACTCGAGGACGTTATTCAACAAATCCTGTGTCATTTTCTTGCACACTGTTATAGGTAGCCTTCAAATGACCTCCTAACAAGGTCTTCATTGCACGCTGACAACCTCTACGACAGTCGCGAATTCCTTCAGTAGCTTCACTGGGTCTACATCCTGAAAAACTTGAGGCTACGGTAAAGATTAGATGAGTTTCATAAAACTGAGAGAATGCGAGGAATAAAATATTTGGTGTACGCCTGAATGTTATGTAGGCTCACCTGATCAACTCGATGCAAAAACACCCGGATCAATGAGAGATAACCTTTCAATTGAACAGTTTTTGACTTTTTATCCTGTCCACTACCTGAGGAAGGTTGAACATGGTTGTATCCAAAATAACTCTGTAACAGTAAGTTGTCATACAAACCGGAGTTCTAAGTTGAGGCTTAACTTGAAGCTTCTTTTTGATGTGGTTGCGTTCTCTGAGCTGGATGGTTAATTTGCGTAGCTTTCATCACCCTATGGGTGACATCTTCAGCGCATACTTCAATTTGAATTCGCAAATTAACTATCCAGCTGAGAGAACACAACCACATCAAAATCATTCACCTGAGCTACAAATCTTCTCTATCATATCTAAACTTGAAGCTTCGTTTTCAAAGAATCTTTGGTGTATATATCTGACTAGTGACTCCGTGTATCACTTCTAATGTTATGTAGAACGCATGAAGTACTCAACGAAGTGTCGCAGACTAAATGGTATATATAGTTCGAGTTCTCTTCTTTTTGACTTTCTTTAACTTCTTATCACATCATTTTGATTCTTATTTTCACTTTGATTTGTTCATATAAGGTCTTGTTATTAGTTCTCTAAACTGTCTGTAGTGTTAATTTTTTTACTTTTTCGTTCAAGATTTCAATTACAGTTTTATTATCCTTTTGCGCCATAATTTACCTTTTCGTCTTTTGTTACATTTTTGAAATCAGCTATTTTTTTGGCCATTTTCAGCTCTTGGATGAACTTATAACTCATGTTTATTTACACAACGGTTCTCCACCTGTTTATCCGTTATTATAGGCCGCAAAAGCTTTCATTTGCGGTCGTTTTGTTCCATAGGTTAGTTTATTGATGTCTGATAATAATCTGTGGTAGTGCGTTAATGGACATACTTACATACATACATCAAATGTTGAGTCTGTCGAATTTTCCCACACTGTTCAGTTCTAGTTTTATGCCAACTTTTTTATCAATTTTTTTCATGAATATACTTTGAGTGTTGGTTTTTTTTCAATGTTTGTTACATTTCGTTGAAATTCAATATTTTTAATTCGTCATTAACTTTCTTTTAGGTGAATGCTTGCTTATTTGATGTCTTAAGCGGTCGTACTGAAGTTGACCATCCATTATGCCAAGAATGCGCTGATACCTTACTGCTTGCTAAGCAACAGTGTTTAGAATTTCAAGAGGAGGAAATGAAATGTTTACAGTAAGTCAGTTTTTTATTATTGAAATAGTAGTTTCGTAGTATTTCTTGGGAAAGAATCGATTGGTGGTGTTTTGTTCTGTTAGAATTCAAAAAAAAAGGAAATCCCGATTCGAGACAGGTTTCGAACTAACGACCTTTCGGATTACTAGACACTCGTTGAAATACGACACCTAGCTACTAATCATCACACCATCGTTTGACTGTAATTATCACAGGCAATGACCACTTATCGTATCGGTCAGGGATAAGTAGCTGTCCGTTTATCATCAGTTCGATAGGCTAATAATCGACGTTTTTATGATTCCATGTGTTTCACATATATACCTACTGTATGTGCTGATAAAGTGGTAGAGCGCGTTGACTACTTCGCTTATTTGGGAAGTTGCATCAACCAATACCAGTGTGTTGATCGCTGGCGAAATTTCAGCACGGAGACAGAAGGGTTATTTCGCATATGCCAGTTTATGCCGTCTCTGGCGTAGACGTGATATCCAGCTGGCTATCGTCCAGCAGTCCGCTCCGTCCTCTATGGCTGTGAGACATGGCCATTGCAAGTGAAGGACATGAAAAGGCTGGCTAGCTGTCTTTGATCATAGGTATCTGCGTTTTATCTCCCGTGCGAAGTGGTATAATGGAGTGAGCAATATTGAGGTTAGGCTTCATCCGAGTGCCAAGTAATGAGATGAAATCAGTCGACGAGGTTGTGAAGTCAGATCGATTTAGATGGTAAGAACATGTGTCATGGATGCCTAGTCATCGCCTTCCTCGACGGGCATTGTTATCTGACTAACATAGGATCAGGTTGAAAAAGAGAAAGCTAATGTTGGTCAAACTAAAACGTGGCCTCTTCAGTCAATGAAATCCACAACAGTTAGTTTAAGCCAGCCAGCTAGGCACGTAGGAATATGTAAACTTCCTGGTTTGGTCCCTCGGGACGGTAAAAACCAATGAAGGCTGGAGAAAATTGGCGATATGGCTCAAACCCATCGTTCTCAATGGCGCAGATGCATTTAATCCTTGTGACTTAAAATTTCTAATAAAACTCTATTTGTTCTTCGATATCACTATTCTTTTTGCCTCATATCTCTGTTTACTATCTCTATTTTGCATTGCTTTTTACTTTTTCTTGCTTTTTGTGCTACACGGAGGGAGAGTGGTGACTTGAACTTCTGCACATCTGTGAAAAGGTTTGTGTTGAAATCAGTTAGTCAGTGCTGATAAAGTTATTTGACTTTGTCTTCATATGTACATTTTTTCTTCTTCATCAAATTGAATTAAAGCACCTTTGGTGAGTTGATACTTCTGAGGAGAAAGTATCGATAGTTATTGTTAAGCTTTAACTTTGGTTTCCATGAATGTTAGCTGAGGTTTTTAGAAAACGGCACACAGGTTCACAAATCAAAGTATGTTATATTTTTTGAATTATTAATCCCATTGAGATATGAAATAAGGATTTCAGCGAAGAAAAAGTACTGCCCCTCCTCTCGACAATTTTATTCTCACTCCTCTACATTTGTGACTGTTCATGTATCAAAACAGATAACATACAAGCACGTGTGCTGTGTAATTATGCATTAAAGATTTTGTTTAAATGATTATGAATCACAAGTTGATTAGAAATTTGGATGAATAAAGTAGGTTCAATACATAGGACAGTAGATATGAGTGAATAGGTGATAGAGAAGATCAAGTACACTTGTAAATGTGAACATCTGAATTTATCAGGTCAAATGCAATTAGATGAGATGTATGAAGTATCGTCAATAAAGATTTTTAAAAATATGTTAGAATGTGAAAACGTAAAGTAGGTCAAGTGCGACCGCATCAATGGCGCTAAAACGCCCAGTCAGCAAGTTGGTGAAACCGGGTAAATAACACTTTGGTCATGAATAATAAAATATGCCTAATGCTCAGGGAACACAAGTACACCAAAATTATCCACCTGAGTTACAAAATATTCACCATTATAGGTTAATGAAATGTTATGATATTAAGGCAAACATCTGGTAAAGTTTTAGGTTAGCTTTGGGGAAGATTAATTTCAGGTTTAGGCTAAGATCAAGTTAGGGTTAGGTTTACCTAACAAGGAAGAGATTAGGGTTGGTCTGAGTTAGCCTGGGGTTAGTTTAAGGATAGTTTCGCGTTAGGATTGGTCTAAAGACAGTTCAGGGTGGGGGTCGGGATTAGAAGACTTGGACGAATACATGCATATAGAATGTGGTTCTGATAGGAATTGGCCTGAAACAATAATCATCGTATGATTCATGGCGTGATCGGATGACCCTAAAATTTCATCACCTTTTCCCGACCTTGGTCATTACCAAATCGCCAACCAGTCAGAATAGTTATTTTTCGCCTACTTTAACCGAATCGCCTGTCAACTGAAGCAATCTATTTTCACTGCCCTGGGCCAATTTTAATGTGGCCAAAAAAATACATAAATATGACGCGTTTTTCCTAATAAAGTCGTATCCCAACAGTCACAGACCAGTCTTTATCATTTGATGTTTACGTGGCTCATCGAAGCAGAAGGTACCATTGCATCAGTATGATTATACGCACGCTAATGTCCACTCGGTCATATCAACTGTCGACGACAGATTACATCAATTAGCGACAGGTCAGTAACAAATTAATGACGAGTTCATTTTAACTGCCACAGAGATCATAACAGGTTCAGTGTAGGACCCGTAGGCACTTATGTCACACTTCAGGGAAAGGCATCCTGTGTATCAGTTTCATGCCATTTTATTCATTATTTTCTTAATTATACATGTATTCCATACGTAAACATCCCATTTCCCAAATGATTGGTAGTTCGCACGCTATCGATGCTCAGAGTTTAACTTCATCACGGGGTGAAATGAGACGAAACAAAATGAAATAAACAATTTTTGTCAAGCACATAATAACATTAAATCCTGGATAAAGAATGAAATTGTAAAAATTGTTTTCGTATTTTAAGTTCTAGCTTTATGTTATTGATGTAGCCAAGACTATCGAAATTCCGTTTTGTCTTATAATGCTTAAACTTTTTTCATTTTTAATTGTTTTAATCAGTCACTTATATCCATTGATCATTGACTACGTAAAGTAGCGCACATTTTTAATTAGCTTTCTACTGTACAGTTCTGAAAGGGAATGAAGAAAAAATATCATAGAGAATAGGATGTTTGTTTAGATGGTACAAGACTGTATCACATCTTATACAGCAACGACAGAAGACAAGGGCCAGGCGACAGATCGTTTATTAAGAAAATCAACAGATAGTTATAAATTTTTGTGTATATTATTATTGTTAGCAGAGAAGCCATGTCTTCTGATTGGTTGTTTTTCTGCTGAATGTTATTCTGTCATCCCTTTATTGCCGATTCTTAGACAGTTTGGTGATATATCTACGAATTGTATCCGCCCATGCTAAGTCTGATGTGATTGGTTATTGAGTTCATCAAAGTGAGGCTTTGTTCTTGTTTTTTCTAATGACCAAGATTTGGGACGTAAACATTGAAGTAAATTGTTGTCTACCAATTTTGGCTAGCAGACAGCTCTCACCACAATAGTGCAGATTATTACTTTACTTGTAGATACTGTACGAAGAGGAAATACTTCTGCAACTGAATACACTGAGAATTTCTGTACTGTGTTAACATTATTATCTGAAATAGAGTATTATTATTATTATTGATCGTATTTCCAAATGGGTCTTTTTTCATTGAAGTAGACAGACTTTTATTTTATTTTTTGAAAGTTTTCGAGGATACTAATTGAAAGATGCAAATAAATAAAAGTCATTTGTTTTCATGAATCTGTCAACAAAACATGTTCTCAAGTGTTGGTTTGTAGGGATTTGATTGGTTTCAGGATTTCATCATGAGCTGAAATTAGTTAGAGAACCATTGGAAAACCAACAGGGAGTACTGGACAGCTGTTTCGTCCTAGTTTGGGACTCTTCAGCAGTACGCACCCACCGGGATTTGTAACCGGAAGGTCCTGGGTTCGAGTCCCGGTTAGTGCGTACTGCTGAAGAGTCACAAACTAGGATGAAACAGCTGCCCAGTACTCCCTGTTGGTTTTCCAATGGTTCTGTAACTAATTTCAGCTCATGATGAAATCCTGAATACATGTGCTTTTTTGTCTTGTGAACAAAAAAAGGAAGAAATTACAACACAAGGTTTTATCTTTTTTTCTGAATTTTCAGATTTTATTTATCCTATTTAGATTCAACTGCTGGTAAAATTGAAGCTAAACTGAAAGCTAAACAAACTGCTAAGATAAAATCTGCAAAGCATAAACAACTGAATCTTTCATCTGGTGAAGCATCATACATCAGCAAAAAACAACAGGCTGATTCAGTTGAGAAGACTAGTAGCAATAGTTCTACTTCAGCTGTGGTTCATGAAAGTGATGATAAGCCAACATGCGATAACGAAGGTGATCGGGATGATGATGATGGTAATGATGAAATATCCGGTGATGATGACGATGACGATGATGATTCTGCATTGATTGATTCTATGCTACTAAGTTATGCCTTTGATGGAGAAGACGACAGTAGTGAGAATTACTTCGACAATGATGACGGAGAGAATGATGAAGACGCCGGTGGTAATAATGATGATAATTCAACATCTGTTGATGATAAAATTAGTGGAGAATTGAAAAAGTTAAACATAAAACCACCAAATAGTAAAAAATGTGGTACAAATGTTAAAGAACTTGAAAAGACATTAAGTATGCTACAGGCGAATTTGAATGAACTTCTACTTGAAAGTGAAAAATTGGATAAACAAATTATTCATGATACAGCAGAGTTGGAAAGACGTACAGAAGAGCTAGACAGGTTACTATACACATGGATATATTTTTTCTTAATCGTATTGTTTGTTTGTGTTATTGGCAATACCATAGTATAAATACAGTTCACGATTTTCAATTTGCACAGTTTGAGGAGATGAAGTTCCACCACAGTTTCCTTTGAAGACCGAAATTATTCAGACACTGATCACAGTAGTCTGTGATCCGCTTGATACCATGATTCGTAATCAAGAAACCAAACATAGCTACATAAACTATTGGTTCGATTGAAATGTGCAGTATATATATTGATTTATGCTTGCTTTTTGATTACCATTTATGGTATAAAGCAGATCATGAATTGTGATCTGAATAATTTTACTCTTCAAGGAAAAACTGTGGTAAGATCTTATCTCAAACTGTGTAAATTGCGATTGGCGAGTTCAGTTCATCTAAGTAGCTAACCAGTGATTGGATGGCGTGAACTGATTCGGCTTTCTGATTTGGGTCAAACTCCCGGGTACACCACTGATGAGCTCGGTTCATCCATATGGGGAACTGCCAGACCAAGTTCAGATCACTTCGATGTAGTTGGTAATAACCACTGGTTGGTGTGAGAGTGGTTTACAAGTGCTCATCTCCATCAACCAGTAATATGTCGTTTTATAAGCTTCAGTATTATACGTAGAGTTATATATATATATATATATATATTTCTAATGGGACATAATATTAAATTAGAGGTAGCTAAGTGTTTTGATAATTGGTAAGTAAGGGGTATTATTTCTGAAATCTACTATTGGTCGTCTATGGGGTGACCTGGCTTATTTATTTTTATTAGCAGGCACCATATATCCTACTAGCATTAATAGTTTTAGGCATTCAATTAAACTGTTTTAGACTACTCACCCAGTGGAGTGATAGCTTCATTCTGCGTATTGAATTAAATCCGCAATAGATTTCTTAATCTTATACATTATTGTATCTACAGGCTTCTTAATTTCCTCATACGTTCGGACGCGTTGTATGTGACTTTCAGTGACTTTCTTGATTTAGGTGTAATATTTACTTGTAATTGTGCTGTATTGCATTTCACAATTTAGTCTTCTTCATGGTTGGATATTTGATAGTAAAATTACATCATCAGGATTGTTGGCGTCTTAAACGACTACTGATCAGACGACATATGTCCTGCACAGTACACCTCGTTCTACCCTTCTTGATGGGTGCGAAACATGACTATTGGAAGTCGAGGGTATAAAGAGAGGTTTCGCGTGCGTTTTGGATTGTGAGGGCGATTGTTACTTCCCGGCTGCCCACACCGTGGAAGTTGGTTGCGTGACCGCAGAGCCCAGGGGACAACTGCTTGAGGCCGGTCACACGCGGCCTGTTTTTGTTTGTTCTTTTTTGTTTGGTGTGTCTCAGTAGCATATTTATCACTCCTGCCCTGTGACACGGCAGCAGGAAGCGCGGTCGTTGTTAATCCGCGCCACGGCCGATCCGGAATGAAATTTTGTGGTTTTGTACGTATCATAATGTTGAATTGGGTAGCTGCTTTTTGTTTAACCGCTATCCAAACAACCTTCCTGGCATGGTAGGACCTCAAGAGACATAACTCTCAGCCAGTATAGCTTGAATAGGTCATTGCGGTGTTCAAGCCCGACCACCACGTCAAGCTTTCGGTCGGGAAGTGAAGTGGTAGAGCACGTTGACCGCTTCACTTATTTGGGAAGTACCATCAGCCCCAACGGGTTGATCTCTGAAGAAATCTCAGCACGAATACAGGGGGCTCGTTTCGCATTTGCCAGTTTACGCCGACTCTGGTGTGTAGACGAGATGTTCAACTATCGACCGAAGGGCGTGTGTACTGCTCATCAGTCCGCTCCGTCCTCCTTTATGGCCAGCTGTGAGACCTCGCCACTGAGAGTGGAAGACATGAGAAGACTAGCTGTCTTTGATCATAGGTGCCTGCGCTCTATTTCCCGTGTAATTGGCATAATAAGGTAAGCAATATTGAGGTTAGGCGTCGAGTACTAGGTAAACAGGTGAAATCGATCGACGAAGTCGTGAAGTTACAAAGACTGAGATGGTTAGGACATGTGTTACGTATGCCTGGTCATCGCCTTCCTCGACGAGCAATGTTAGCGGATATAGGGTCAGGCTGGAAAAAAGCTAGCGGCGATCAAACAAAAACTTGGCATCAGTCAATGAAATCTACAACAGTTAGTCTAAGCCACGTAGGAAGGTGTAGACTTCTACGCTGGGGTCCTCGGGACGATAAAAATCTATGGTTGGAAACAATTGGTGACATGGCTCAAAATCGTTCTCAATGGCTAGTGCAGATGCATCCACTCCTTGTAACTTATGATTTCCAATGAAACTGTTTTGTTCTTCGTTATTACTCCTCCTTTGTCTCATATCTCTGCATACTGTCTCTTTTATGCTTTTTCTTGTACTTTCTTCTCTTGCTTTGTGTGCTACAAGGAGGGAGTGTGGCGACTGGAACTTCCGCACATTTGTGCAAAGTTCTATGTCGAAAACAGACAGACAGACAGAGGGTATAAAGAGACTAGCTGCTTTTTACCACAGATGCTTGCATTTTATCCCCTGTGTTAGGCGGCAGAATATAGTGAGTAATATTGAAATTGGGCGGAGAATGTTAGGCAGGAAGAGAAAGCGAATTGATGAAGTTTTGAAGCTACATCGATTAAGATCTTAAGAGCAGATGTTATGCATTCCGAGGCAGCGTTTTCTTAATCATGGAATGTTAGATGACATAGGATTAGGCTAGAAGTGGTCAATTGAAAGCCTGTCATCAATCCATCAAATTATTGTCAGTTGGCTTTAACCAGCCATGTAGGGAGGTGTAGACTGTTTGGTTGGGATCATTAGGGTGCTAAGAACCAATCGTTGAAGACTGTTGATGATATGACTCAAAGTCGTTCTCAATGGCCTAAATGCATTCACTCTTTGTAAACGCTCAATAACACATAACTGTAGACCTTTCACCTAATTCATTTATTAAATAACTTTAATTATTTTGTATTTGATAGTATTTATGCATTATTATTGCCTGTATTATGTTGTCATTCTCATCTCTATACGATTAGAGCTACAACTCAATACAATGATCAAAAATTAGCTTTAATGGAAGCTGAAGAAGAAATGCAGTGTTTAGAATCTCGACTCAGCTATGCTCGGAGTCATTTACGTCGGTTACAACGTACAAATGTGCTTAATGTTGCTTTTCCTATTTGGTATGATGGTCATATTGGAGTGATAAATGGTTTACATCTTGGCCGGTTGCCTAATCGTCCTGTAAGTTATAACTACTAGTCCAAAATAATAATAATGCTTTCAGAACCTGTGTAATTTTTTTCCTCTATCATTTCTGTCTTGTTCTTTTCACCTTCATGTTTCTGAAATTTTGTCTCATCTGACAGCATGTTTGGAATTTTGTCGATATAATCTTTCCGATCTGTTATTACAATCTCTGCACCTTTATCTGGTCGTGTGTTAGTGGGATATTCTCATTTTTCTTCAACTCCTTTAATTATTATTATTGCTCCCTTGGGTTCCTAGTGGAACATAGGGCTTCAACTGCACGTCTCCATTTGCTTCTGTCTTCTTCTGCTGTACTTTTCGCCTGCATCCATGTTAGTCCATATTCTTTCAACTCCTCTTCACACGATCTCCTCCATGTCACCCTTGGACGTCCCACACGCCGCTTCCCTTTCGGGTTCCACTCGAGGGCTTGACGCGCGATGTCACCCAGCGGTCTCCTCAGCGAGTGTCCGATCCATCTCCACTTTCTCCTGCATATTTGTTGGGCGATTGGTTCTTGCTTTGTTTGTTCCCATAATTCCTTGTTGGTGATTCTTTCCGGCCATCTGATCTTCAGTATAGAGCGAAGACAGTTGTTAATAAAGGTCTGCAACAGGCTGTTGGAAATATTCTTTGTGACCCCGCCAAGTTTCTGATCCGTATAGAAGAACTGACTGACTTTACGTTTGTATTGAAAATCCGAATTTTGTTGTTGATGTGCTGAGTGACGAAGATTTCCAGATTGATTTCAGGTTGATGAATGTGTTTCTCGCCTTCCCGATTCTCGCTCGATTTGACATCCTCGTCCGCTCCTCCTGTAGTTGAGACAATGCTCCCTAGATAAGTGAATGAAGTAACCTCTTTCAAATCCCTCCCGTTGATGGTGATTGACGTTGGATGTTGTTGCTGTTGTTGGTTGGTTATTTTCATAACCTCCGTCTTGTCTATGTTTACCTGGAGTCCTGTCTTCTCTGGCTGCTTCTTCGACCAGTTTGTCGGTTTTCGCTTGTAAGTCTTCGATTGTGTGTGACATCAAACATAAATCATCCACACGCGAAATCCAGGTCTTCTAGGTTCTTCACGTCGGTCCAGGATATCCCTGTCTTCTCGTTTCCCACTGTCTGACGCATAATCCAGTCAGTCCACCACAATTAGGAATATCATTGGTGATAATAAGCACCCTTGTCTGACTCCTGTGTTTACTCCAAACGCCTCGCTGAGTTTTCCGTTGTGGATCACTTGACATGTGCCGTTGTCGTACAGCTGTTGAATAAGGTTGATGAATATTTGGGGTACGCCATAGTACTCGAGTAATTTCCAAATTACTTCACGGTCAACGCTGTCGAAGGCCTTCTCAAAGTCTATAAAGTTGAGGTAGAGGTTTGATTGCCATTCCATGCTTTGTTCTGTGATGATGATGCGTAGAGTTGCAATTTGGTCAGTACATGATTTGCCTTTCCTGAATCCAGCTTGTTCTGGTCGGAGTTCTGTCTCCAGTGCGTCCTTTAATCTCTCCAGGATGATGCGACTCAGGATTTTACTTGGCGTCGATAGGAGCATGATTCCTCGCCAGTTCTTGCAGAGTGGGTCCTAAGTCGCCCTTCTTTGGTAGTTTCACGAGGTAACCTTTCCTCCAGTCAGTAGGCACCTTTCCCTCCTTCCAGACCTTTTGCAATAATGGAGTCAGCATGTCTGCTGTCGTCTCTGGGTCCGCTTTCAGTGCTTCAGGGGGTATTCCATCTGGTCCGGCTGCTTTTCCAGCTTTCAGAAGCTTGATTGCATTCAAGACTTCAGCTCTCGTTGGAGGATTGGTGTCAACTTGCAGTTGTGTGCGCGCTGTTGTTGGTATTTCTGGACGGGTTGCAGGTGATGGTCGGTTCAAGAGTCCTTTGAAGTGATCCGCCCATTGTTTAATCTGTTTTTCTTCCTTGGTAATTGGGTTCCCTTGGCTGTCTTTTATAGGTTTCGCTTGTGTTGATCTCTTCCCGGATAGAGATTTGGTTATCTGATATAGTGTCCTCAGGTCCCTTTTGCCTGCTGCCTTCTCAGCTTCAGTGGAGAGGTTGTCGTAGAATCGTCTTTTGTCCTTCCTAGCACTCTTCTTCACTTCTTTGTCCAGTGCTGTGTAAGTTGAGCTCAGCGTCTCCTTCTCCTGTCCGTCCTTGCATTGAATCATTTTCTCTTTCACCATTCTCCTCTCTTCTATTAATTTCCAAGTGTCCGTTGAGAGCCATTCCTTGTCTTGTCTCTTCTTTCTTCCTAGAACCGTTGAACACGTTTCGTTGAGAATCGCCTTCAGAGACTTCCAATGTTCTTCCACGCATGATTCTTCAGTGATGTCGCGTAGTGTTTCCTGCTTTGCTCTGACAGTTGCAGTGAAAGTGTCTTTTGTGGTTGTGTCCTTCAGTAATTGAGTGTTGAACTTGCATTGTGGCCTATCCCCAGCTATCCTCGAGGCTTTTAGTTTCACCTTGAAAGTCCCTTCTACTAGATAGTGGTCTGAACCCACATCTGCTCCTCTCCTTGACCTTGTGTCCAGTAGGCTCCGTCTCCACTTTCTTGAAATTGAGATGAAGTCTATTTGATTCTTGGTGTTTCCATCTGGTGAAATCCATGTCGTCTTGTGTATATCCTTGTGTTTGAACACACTACCACCAATCACCAAATCATTGAAGGCGCAGAAGTCTGAGAAGAGTTCACCATTGTCGTTCATTTCGCCGAGGGCCTCACGACCCATGGTGAGTTCTCTTCCTGTGTTGTCTCCTCCCAGCTTCGCATTCATGTCGCCCATCAGGATTTTGATATCGCCATTTGGGACGTTGTAGTTGTCTGTAGAACGCCTCCTTCTTCTCTTGTTCTGAGACGTTTGTAGGCGCATAGCATTGAATGACTGTAACTTTCCTTCCTTTTGAGTTGAACCTGGCTGTCATTATCCTGGAGGAGATTGGTTCCCACTGCATGAGAGCTTTGGCTGCTGTTGGTGACATCATGATGGCCACTCCCTCGGTGTGCTCGTGGTTGTCCTCTGGGTGGCCGGAATAGATTACTGTCTCTCCAGTAGGTAGTTGGCACCTTCCAGTTCCGTTCCATCTGCTTTCGCAGATTCCCAACACTTCTATTCTGTACCTTCTCATTTCAGCGGCTATCTGGGCAGCCTTTCCAGTTTCGTACATTGTACGAACATTCCAGGTACCCATCCTTACTTTTGCTTTCATCGAAAGAAGGCACATCGGCTGACTGGCTTCCCGAAGGCTTTCACCAGCCTGCGTCATTTCACTTCCCCGATTCCAGCGAAAAGTAAGGCTATTGCTTATGTTTTTAGAATTTTTAATATATTTATTCGTTGAAGTTTCTGTAGCGATTTGGTTGTTTTACAGGGGTGGAGTTGCTAGCACCACGCCCCAACCCTCCCTCTTTACCCGGGCTTGGGACCGGCGAGAAAACTAGTAAGCTAGTAGCCTAGCAAGCTAGTGTCTGGCGAGGTTAACTCCTTTAATTAAATGAAATGTTATTTCGTGAGATGCTGGCGCAATTTTGGTTTTGATTTCATGAATTGATGAGTACACTTCAGTATTGATAACTTGAAATGATCTAGGTCTTCTAATGAATTCGCTGTCAGATCCTTTGTTTGATTGATCAGATTTCCAAACTGCATCTGATCCTATAGTGTCGAGGAAAAGTTAATTACATATTTTTTCCGGCATTTCGGGAATTTCCCACTTGATTCGATTGGCTTTAGTAGATTCTTCAATTTGAGATTGCCGCTATCTCTTCTGCTTTTTATAACCATAGCAACAGTTTTCAAATTGTACTCGAATCTTAGGTGCAAGTTCGCTCAATATATCTGCTCTCCTCAGTTAATTTGAGTCGTGAGCAAATGAAAATATTATCATATGGCTCGAAATTCTGTATCCTTCAATAGAATGAAATGACATTGAATGATTAGGTGCAGTTTGAAAATCTGACAGAAAATTCATTAGGAGACCTAGATCGTTTCAAGTCATCAGTGCTAAATTGTGCTCATGAATTCATGAAATCAAGACCGAAATCGCTCCAGCATCTTCACAAAGGAACATTTCATTCAATTAAAGGGGTTGAAGAAAAATGAGAATATCCTACTAACACACGACCATATAAAGGTGCAGGAATTGTAGTAATAATGGATCGGAAAGATCCTATTGACAAAATGCAAAACATCCTATCAGATGAAACAAAATTTCAGAATAATATTACTGATATAGAGTTGGTAATTCGCACTGGCGCTTATCGTTGGTTATAAAAGTGCTGGTCAGTTTGTAGGCTAAAATTTACACGATACAGTCCGACTAACATAAGTACTGGATTCACTCGCCAAATCCTAAAATGTATAGTAGTAAGACTAGATGAAAAATGATCGCATCTAATCTCTCGTTATCTCACTAAATAATTCTATAGCTTATACTCGGGGGGAAAACAAAAAAAATATGTATAGGTATTCAGCTGTCTGTAAATGTTTAATTAGTCAAAAATAAAATAAAAGCTGACTAGACAGTTGTATTATCTCATTGTCCTCTGTAATGCCCTTAGCTCAGGAAACAGTGTGAAATCATTTTTACAACAGAAAATCCCATAAACTTCATGAGAATTTTTTTTCTTTTCACAGGATATTTGTTGTCACTTTATAATTAATAAATTTAATATGCTGAAAACATGAATAAGGCTGTCTGCTGCCACTGATGATGGTCATCGTCATTGTGGTGGGCAGCATCATGCGACAGACTGTGAGGAGTGAGTAGACACTAGACCGAAATAAGGACTCTCGAAGGTCTACATTTCGTGGATGACCCATACCCCATTTCGTACAAACTTGAAGGTAATAAAATGAAAATCAGCCAGTTGATAGAAAAGACAGGACTTGAGATAAACATAGAGAAGATAGAAATGATGAAGATACCCGCCTAATATAGAACTTCAAGGTATCATCAGCGGAAGGAATCAAAAGGAAATCGTCTATTTCGTTTATCTGACCTCGACCTCGTTGTTTCAACTACAGCTGGTAAAAATAAGGATGTGAAAGCATGCCAGAATTGTGAAGACAGGCGTTGATTACTCTAGAATCCTTCCAGGAAACAAGGTATATATTCTGTCTAACTATCAAGTCAGTTAGGATTTCTGTGTGTTTTGGAGATTTGACGCGTGCATGCCACCGAAAGCATTTCTAAATTGTTAAATACAGACTTTCATCAATACCTGTTATCGCTTTATTATAAAAATCAGATAGCCAGTAAAAAAGGATCAGCAACAAGGAACTCTTGGAACAAACTAACCAAGAACCTTATTGCCTAATAAATATGCAGAAGATAACAGACATACGCTGAAGAGACTGTTGAGCAATAACACACATCCTAACCCTCGGGTGGAATTTAATTGAAAAACAAACAGTTTGGGTGTCTGAAGTGACGTAGAGAAGACCATATGACGAGGAAATGAAAGCTTGTACGCAGTCATGGAAACAGTTTAAGGTGAAAATAGAAAACAGTACAACAGAAATGTGCAGATGAATCTCTCTCTCTGCGTTCCACTTGACAGATTTGAAACAAATAAAATGTAGAATTTCACTATAATTGTCTGTGCTTGTTATATTCCTCTCCACTGATTGCATATTCATTCAAAATATTACAAAATGTTCTCATCTAACTACATATCCAACTAGTTTTACGCAACACATAAGTTAACTGAACCTTTAATTGTATTATTATTATTATTATTACCTCGCATTCCTTGATTGTTACTCAGCAATGTAAGACGGATATTTCATCTGAGTAAAACACCGTTTTTCTCAATTTTCTGTATAGTTAGTAAGCAACAATCTTTTGAATTGTATTGTAAGCAAATTTCAAAGTCTGCGTTTCTGAGAATTTTTCTCAATACTTAACCGTTAAGTCAGTTTCTCATATTTTTAACTGTTTTTTGGTTGACTTTATCTCTGTTTTGCTTTTTTTTGCCCAGGTTGGTTGGGAAGAGATAAATGCAGCTTGGGGTCAATGTGCATTATTATTGCAGTGTATCTCAAAAAAGTTGAATTTCACTTTTCAAAAGTAGGTGGATTAAATGAACATTGTTTTAATGATTCTTTTTTTTTACCACATTATAATATCGCGCATATAATTCCCTTTAGTCCCGAGTGGAACATAGGGCTTCAGCAGCACATCTCCATTTTGTTCATAATCACTCATCTGTTCCTCCATGTGTCAACCTCAGACAGGTCAAACTCTTCGTTTTCCACCCAGGCCCCAGTCAAGAGCCTGGTGTGTGGTTTCACTCGATGGTCGTCTCAAATCGTGTATCCGATCTATCTCCATTTTCTTTGGTATATTTGCTGGGCGATTGAGCTATCGAAGACAGTTGTTGATTAAAGTTTACATTAACCTGTTGGAAGTGGTTTTTGTGAAGCATCAAATGTCTGATAAAAAATATAGTAGAACTGATTTGACATTAGTGTTGAAAATCCGTTTTCATGTACACTGAGGTTTCTGTAGCGATTGGATTGATTTTCTGGGGTTGAGTGGCTAGCCTCACGTCCAACCTTCCTTCTTTTGCCAGACCCAAGACTGACTACTGAGTTAGATTTATATATATATGGATACATATCACTTCCTCTTTTGAGAAGATTGATGATTAGTAGGATGTTTTCCTGGGGGTTTATCTGGAACCTTTGGGCTTGTTGTTGACGTCTGTCGTTTCGTCTGCCTGTTGGGTTTGCGGCTTCGGCTTCGTCCGGAATTGTCTGACATTTTATGCTTCTTGACTGCATTGCATAGAGAATTTAGTGGGACATCAGCCAGATGCAAGCGATCGAACCAATCAAGTCCCGAAAGATTTAAATCACTCTTGGTGACGTATATATATATCCAAACTAATATCTTCAGGGGAAATCCTACAGGCAACAATATTTAGAAGAATGAAGGAAAATCGCTCTAGAAATACAAATAAGTAAAGTAATCTGACATGTTAGGTGACAAATAATACTAATTTAAAGACCTTGGTTTCATGTTACTGACTCATAATGACGTGGGTTGTTTTACTGAGGTTGTATGTCTGTCTGTCTGGATTTAACATAGAACTTAGCACCGAAGTGCACCAGTTCGAGTTGCCACGTTCCAAATAGCACACAGGTAGACAAGAAGATGAGTGAAGAGAATCAATAGTCTGACAAGTATAAGAGTGAAACAAAATGGGTAATGGTAGAAAGGAATATGAAAGATTACAGAGACTGAATACATCTGCGCTGGCCATTGACAACGATTTTGAGCCATGTCACCTATTGTCTCCAGCCATTGATTCCTAGAGTCCCGAGGCCCCCAACCCGGGAGTCTGCATCTCCCTACCTGACTCAGTTTAACTGTCAAGGATTTCATGGATTGATTCCATGTTTTTGTTTGGCCACCACTGGCTCTTTTCCAACCTGAACCTATATCAGCTAGCAATGCCCGTCGGGGGAGGCGGTGGTTAGGCATGCGCAGCACGTGACCTAGCCATCTTAGTCTATGTAACTTTATAGCCTCGTCGATTGATTTTCCCTCTTTGCCCAACACTCTACGCCTAACATCCACATTACTTATCTTGTGAAACCACCTAACGTGAGACAGAGATCGCAGACATCTATGATCGAAAGCAGTCAACCTTTTCATGTCTTCAACGCGTATTGGCCATGTTTCAGAGCCATAGAGAAGGACGGAGCGAACTGCTGAGCAGTACACACGTCCCTTGGTTGATAACCGGATGTCACGCCTACGCCAGAGATGGTGTAAGTCAGCTAAAGCAGCTCGAGCTTTTCGGATCCGTGCTGAGATTTCATCGCCAATCAGGTTGTATACTCGTTCGGAGTATGTGATATTTGTTATTGTTTTTTGAATCCACTTAACCGAATTACGCCTTTTATGTAAACCGCGCTTATTGTATAACGGCTAACGATACTTCCAAGTTCCCCAAGTTGAAGCAGTCAGAGCAGGGTTCAGAGCCTGTGACGTATTCGGTTGAAAAGACTAAGTCCCACGTTTTCATATTCGTTGTTCATTATTAAATAACATATTAAATATAGCTGAATGATTATCACGACAGTTATACTAGTCGAAATTGCTTTTATTGTATTTCTGTAAAAAAACTTTCATATTATGCTTAATACCATCGATACAATAGATATTGTACTGTTGTTGATTCTTTCACGCACTTGGCGTTCATGCGGTAGGTAAGGAACTGAGAATTTATTTCGGTTGGCAGTGACTACCAAGGATATTCAGAGTGTTTATTTCATCCTATTTGGTCCTCGTCAGCTGCATTCCCAGTGAGTGATGTCTGTTCATACAGAGTCGAACTCTGCACGCATCGTTACAAACTCCGAAGCATTATCTACGACAGCGACCTTTTGGCGTTTGAAACGATAGGTGCATAGTAAGAGTCTGTGATGACAGCACCACTCAGTGGGAAATGTAGGTACGTTCATTTGACAAGTCTCAAATAGGACGAAATGAGCATCCTGGATTCTTCAGTGCTAGTCACTACCAAACCAAAACAATTGACCCTTAATCCTAAGGCATCCGTACTTAGAAGACCGAGCATTTTGGTCGAAAAAAAATTATCAACAGGCAATACAAGATTTCTTCCAAGATTGATCACGGATTAATATCAATCAGGAGACCTTCGGAAACTAGGGATTACTAGACATCTGTTTCACTCTAGTTTGGGACTCTTCATCAGTATGCGTATACTGGGGTTGAAACACAGGACCTTCCTGCTACAAGACAAGCTCGTAGACCATTCAGCCGCCGGACTCTTTGCAGCAGCCCATCAGTTCCAACTTCTGCACAATCACCAACCAGTGTCATCGGTGAGTATTTATCCTTACTGCAGACTGGGTGGACCTCACTCGTCACGACTGCTCACTAGAACTCCAGGCAACTTCGTCGTGTAGCCCGGTTATTCACTGGTAAGCATCAAATTCGTTTTGAAGAGTTGATTGGCTGGTGGGTGCGCTAGAGTCATGAATTAGTAGAAGTTGGAACCCATAGGCTACTGAAATGGAGCTCAGTGACTGAATGGTCTACGAGGTTGTCTTGTAAGCAGAATGTCCTGCGTTCGGACCTCAGCGGGTGCGTGCTGCTGAAGAGTCTCAAACTAGGAGAAAACAGCTGTCCAGCACTCCTTGGTTTTCAGTGTTTCCTAAAAGATATCCATCCGTGATCAAACGTGTAACAAATCGAATCCCTAAAATTTAACCCTTGAAAATACAATATCAACTTGAAAAGAGAATTTATTTTACCTACTAAAAGGTTTGCATATTTTCGTACTAATGTTATATGTTTTTCATATACCAAACAAAAATCATCGTATAACCGAACACATGAATGTGTACGTGAGTATATATATATATATATATATATATATATAATTACATGACTGCTCTTTTGTACAAACTATTTATTGATTTTTCGTAAATTGAATCTATAATAAATAATGTCTAAAGTACATTTGCTTTTTCTCATTTTTTTCGTCCTAAATCATTTCCTCTGTATAAACTATTATTAATTAAATAATCATGAAAAAAAAATAAAATAACAACAACCAATCAGTTATCGTGTTGTACCAATGGGGAGTCAATCAAAAATAATTCAATTATCAATATCTAAAGAATTTCCACTTTATTATACTACAGGTGGGATGCGTTTGTTAAGCGCTGGCAAGTAAGTTAAAATATTTTAAGCATATTATTATTATTACCACTGTAACAACAGAAGACAAGGGCCAGGCAACAGATCGTTTTATTACGAAAATCAACACGTATTTATATATATACATTATTATAGCTTTTGCAAGTAGACAAGCGCAGTCTTCTGATTGGTTGTTTATCAAAAGTTAAGCAGACAAACTCAGGCTTCTGATTAGTTGTTTCGGGATTCCTCGAGAAATAGAGTTCTCTATCTGCCACGTTCATTCTTCTGTGATTGGTTGTTGAATCAGCCTTGTACATATTTTCTCACGGCCTGCCCTCACCACACCACTATTAATACATAATATCTTATACTAGAATTTTCATACATTCAGTGAAGTATTTTGGAATTGATTGTTAAACAAAATACACCATAGATATATTATGTATTCAGGGTTATTTAAATTATTTACAAGTATTGGTTTGTAGGGATTTCATTGTTTGATTATAGGATTTCATCATGAACTGACATCGGTTAGGGAACTATTGGAAAACCTATAGGGAGTACTAGACAGCTGTTTCGTCCTGATTTTGGGACTCTTCATCAATACGCACCTATCAAAGTTCGAACCCCGGATCTTCTGTTTACAAGGCGAGCTCGTAATGTGTGTAGTGTGTTTGATGTTTCTATTATAAGCGTAGCTATTTCTTATCTTCACTTGGTAGTAGGTGTTATTGGAGTTTTTTTTTGTTATGTATACAAGTTGGGTAATTCCCCTGTCCATATATCGACATCTAATTACTAAGAATAGGGAGGTTTGATCAGTCTGATTTGACATCAGTTGGAAAAACATTGGAAACTCAAAGAGTCTTTGTTTTAAGACTCCTGGATAGTACACTTCCACCGGTGTTCGAACCCGAAAATCTTCTAAAAATATGACGAGCTCTCTAGTCCATTCATTCAGCTACTGGAACCTGTTTCATTAACTCATGAATTCCCCCTTCTTTCAATTTGCGATGTATAAAGTGCAACTGCCATCTATTAGAGAGTAACTGTTCTTTTATCTAACTTGGTTGACCCCGCTGTTTACAAATTCTTACTGAAACTGGAGGTAACTTTCTTTATAAGGGGAGTCGCTACTGAGCATCAGATTAAATATCAGTTGTTGGTTTGCAGGGATTTTATTGATTATAAATTTGATCACGAGCTGACATCAGTTAGAAAAACATGGGGAATCTAGGGAGAGTACTGAACAAGTTGTTTCGCTCTAGTTTAGAACTCTTCATCAGTTCTCGAACTGATTTTAACTCGTAATCAAACCTGTAACCGATCAGATGAAAACAGAAATTTATTGATTATATAACGTAAATCGATCTACTATCCCCCACCTCGCCTTGTCTACTACACAGAAATTCACAAGGGATTATTAATTAGCGTTATTTCCCTGTTTTTCTCTCCCTCCGTCTCTCCTTTTATCTTTTTTCTACAAACAATAGATTCGATACAGCTATGATAAATTTCCTCGATTGTGTAAATCAAGTTCAATTGGTTATTGAACATTCATCTAATATACAACTACCTTTTCGTATTAAAGATAAGGGAAAACTACAAGATTCTGATGGTCAAGTTTATTCAATCAGGTCAGTAGTAGACGTTTAATATTTAATATAATTTGCTTTCTGCTAATACACCTTTAAAGATATATCAATTTGAGATAGGCATTAAAAATACTATAGGAGTCAATACAGATATCTAGAAATTTAACAATTACCTTCTTATAACAACTCCCACCGAAAGTTGCTACCTTGACTTGTCGGTCGGGCTTGAACACCGAAATGACCTATTCAAGCTATACTGGCTGAAACTTATGTCTCTTGAAGTCCTACCATGCCAGGTAGGTTGTTTGGATAGCGGTTAAACAAAAAGCAGCTACCCAATCCAACATTATGATACGTACAAAACCACAAAATTTCATGCCGGATCGGCCGTGGCCCGGATTAACAACGACGGCGCTTCCTGCTGCCGTGTCACAGGGCAGGAGTGATAAATATGCTACTGAGACACACAAAACAATAAAGAACAAACAAAAGCAGGCCGCGTGTGACCGGCCTCAAGCAGTGGTCCCCTGGGCTCTGCGGTCACGCAACCAACTTCCACGGTGTGGGCAGCCGGGAAGTAACAACCGCCCTCACAATCCGAAATGCACACGAAACCTCTGGTAACAACCTATAATTCATAAGGTATCTATCATGTTAACTAGTATCAAATGAGTAGGGTATACTGTTTTGATGGTTTTAAGCGAATTTTTATTATTTTTCCTTTAGTTCCTAGAGGAACATAGACCTTCAGCCGAACGTCTGTATTACGTCTGGTTCTCTGCCAACCTTTTCATTTGGCTCACTGTCTCTGCACATGCTATCATCTCCTCTTCACATGACCTCCTTCAAGTCACCCTTGCACTGACGATCAACTCGCCCCTCTCCTTTCGGGTTCCACTCGATCACTGGCTTGTCTAGTGATGTCGCTTGATGGTTTCCTCAGAGTATGATCAATCCACCTCCATTTCTTCCACTTATTTGTTTCACAATCGGTTCCTGCTGGGTTGGTTCGCTCATTTCCAGAGATCCCTGTTGGTGATCTTTTCTGGCCAGCCATCTGATCTTGAGTATTGAGCGAAGACAACTGTTGATGAAGGTCTGAAGTTTGTTTGAGATGCTCTTTATGACGCGCCAAGTCTCTGATCCGTATAGTGAGTAGCACTGACTTTACATTAGAGTTAAAAATCCGGGTGTTATTTTTGATGCTGAGTGGGGCTGTTGACTTCCACACAGACTTGAGAGTAATGAAAGCTTGTCTTGCTTTTCCGATTCTGGCTTTGATATCGTCGTCAGTTCCACCTGAAGTTGAAACGATGCTTCCCAGGTAGGTGGGTAGGTAAAGGGGGTTGCTTCTTTCAGATTTCTCCCATTTATGCTGGCTGATTGTTGTCTGTTGTTGCTGCTGTTGGCCAGGAATCTTCATCGTCACCTCTGTTTTATCTATGTTCACCTGAAGTCCTATCTTTGATGCATCTTCTGCTAACTTGTTGCTTTTCACTTGCATATCTTCCAGTTTGTCGGAAATCAGACATATATCATCATGGGCGAAGTCCAGATCCTCCAAGTTTCTTTTTGTGTGGGTCCGTTTTATGCCTGTTTCCTCATCGCCTGCTGTTTGTCACATTATCCAATCTACTGCAATCAAGAAAATCATTGACGATAGTACTTCTATTGATTTATGTATTTTCATTACACTGTGTTCCATGTGGAACACATATGACTTCAGTTTTGGAAGTCTCAGTAGTTCTTGTGTTATCATGACAAGTTGATGTTACTGGCCCTACTCGACCAACCACCACCTTTCCTCTTCTACAGGTTTACTACCGGCTAGGTGGGGTTTGTGAACGCGTCGGTAAACAGTAATATATATGTATATATATGTATGTATATAAACCCTGATCAATATTTAGACGGAATGGTTCCACAAACTTTCGTAACATAACGTAAAATGAAAGACTAAAAGTTGGGTTGGTTACATTTGTCACTCCAAAAGCCTCAGGATGGTCGGGGGTGGGTGCCTTGCGCTGCGGGTTCGCCACCCCTCCGCACACCTCTTGAAATGCTCCCATATGACCGGGCGTCTTACATAGCCTCTCCTGAGGAAGTCCTACTCACTGCCTTCATGTGGCGGAGGTGTTTTTCACCGAAGTGAGAGGGCAAAAGCGGATGCCCGGCGCTCTTCACCGGGTTGACTGTCCATTGGATGACAGTCTAGGGGAGATGGCTAAACCCTGATTCCAAACCTCCAACGACTGGCGTATGAAGCTCACGGAGCTCACCGGCAGACGTATGGACAAAGGGCTTATTGGATGCCCTGGATGACTGGCCCCATTCAAAAAGGCGTATGAACCGGACTCCGGTCACCGGCTCCCAATGGATAGTGGACTCCCTACTCCACTCCTACTGCCTTGTAGGTCACACTTGGTTGTTAGAGCTGCACTCTCAAACAAAAGGCCAAGCGATTCTGGGGACATCACTCGTACCCAATTCCCATGAAACTTCATGAACTCTCTTACAAACAACTCTCACCATGCCACGGCGTTCCCGGTAAGCGACGCAAATTCCAGTACTGGTCCAACAACGTCGCCTTCGGTGGTTTGGCCATGTTCTGCGCCGACCAGATGACGATCTGGTCAAATCAGTTCTAAATCCCTCGCCATTTCCATCTTGGCGATGTCGCAGGGGTGGACAGCTGAAAACATGGCTTGGTACAGTCAAGGCTGATATGGAGTTCCTGGGGCTACAAACCGTCCACGGACTCCGTCTGTGGAACAAGAACTGGATAACCCTGTCGCAAAACCTTGCATCAGATCGCCGCGCCTGGGCAGCGATGATTCGAGATGTTCATGAAGCCGGGTAATCCTCCCGTAGGAGATAGCCGAAGTAAAGTAAGTATTTGTCACTCAAGCAGTTAAACATATTGTTTCTCCCTAAAGTACTGAAGTGAAACTTCAGTCTTTGAATTGCAATAGTCTTTTTGACTGGATATTTTCTTTCACTTTTGTGTGACTGAACTCTCAATGACAGGAAATTTTTTCTTGTAAGGAAAAGCTGGTGAAGAAGAAATAATGCTTGTATATACGAACTGTGACATCTGTTTGATGGTTTCAAAGACGAAGGATGTCTACTGATATATACGCCAAAGTACGCTATATTGATCTAATACACTTGTGTGCACTTGTTCACCTTAGACACACCAACCAACTGTTTGATAATCAAATCAAAACAACAAATTGATGATCACCTCAAATACGAAATATATTTCAGGATAAGAAATATAAAGCGATGATGTCTGCCTAAATAAGTTAGAGAGTGTGTGTACATGAACCACTGAACATAACACACGACAGCGTGTGTCAAATGGCTCTTGAATGTTCGACCGCGTGATTTCAGCTGAATCAGTCAGCTTAAGCAGCGAATATCAGCATTTATTGTTAAATGTGATGAAAGCTGTTTTTTTTCTTTTCTTCACGTTCCCAGTGGAACATAGGGCCTCAAGCTAGTGGCTTGAAGTTTCTGTAGCAGTGCTTAATTTTATAGGATGGGGTTGCTAGCCGCATGCCCAAAGCGTTATCCATTAGACCACTTGGGCCAATGAAAGCTTTATGCGAATAATTTTGGGAGATTGTTTACTGTGTTCCACTGGCTTTATTGATTAATCTGTTTTTCAAGGGATAAACGTTCAACACATTGATTATTCTCTGGTGTTGAGGTTTTGATGCACAGTTCAACTGAATTGTCAGTCTGTAGTTTAGAGATGTGCTGCAAACACTGCTATCTAGAAGCATTTGATGATAATCATTATGGTTTTTTTTCAAGACTTCATTTGTAAGGATGTGATTTGTTTTTCGAGTTAGACCAAGGTTTGATGTCATTTAGAGAAATATTGAATATCAGGGAGTACTGGACGACTGCTGTTTCTTCCTAGTTTGGGAATCATTGGCAGTACGTGCCCACTGGGGTTCGAACTCAGGACGTTAGGGTTACAAAGCATCAATCCTCGGTCAAACTCAAAAACATAATTATTATCATTTCACAATATGTTTCATTAACATAAATAATAAGCTTCGACTGAAGTTGCATTTCTTATGGTTTTATTATTTTTTATTTATTAGATGGAATGGTAATTCCGAAGAAAATTGGACAAAAGCTCTGAAAATGATGCTTATCAACATGAAATGGATTATAGCAGCTTTATCTGCACGAAAGAGTAGAAAACGCTTGCCAACAATAACATCTGGGACACCGATACCGACAACCTCCAGTGTACAGTCGGGTAGTAATACCAGTGAAACATGATACTTACATATACCTATATATACAGAAACATGAGCATTATACAGAACTGCTGAAAGTCAATTTACTTGTCATACACATATACACATTTCTTTACTTCATTCTGTCAGTATCACAAAATGAGATGCGTTTCTGCTTTTTACAAACTGTCTTTCATTATTCCTACTTTTTCTATTTTATGCATTATCTATGGATGCGTGGGTGGGTGAGTAACCAACATGCAGTGTTATACTAACATACAATATGGTTATTTATTATATTATGTATATCAACATACTGTACATATAAAACAAAGTCCTAGGTAAAATATGGGATTAGCTTTGCGTGTGTGTGTGTGGGTGTGTATTCTGCCATTTGATGCTAATAATTTTTTTTTTTGAGAAAGAAAGATTGCTTCTTGTGATTATCTTGACCATTTTAAATATGAATATATAATTTTCTTAAAGTCATATTTTTCTGGTTTTATTGGTTATTTTCGGTAAAAAGAAGGTGTCTAGTAAACAAACATTTTGACAGATATCTTAGTGTTTACAAAAACTGTCTGAGGGAAAATATATTCAGAATGTGGGTGTTGTTAACATCATGTTTGACTTTCAGTTATTAGACTGTTATGAGCTAAAATGTCACTACCCATATATATATCGAGATTAATTTAACCAGTTAGTATCATCAGATGTGTCACCGTGTCTATAGGGTATATAAGATGTTCCAAATCAATTGGTATACGATTATAAGATGAGGTTCCATGCTTCTTGCTGTCTACTGTATCTTTCTTGATCTTGGAGAAACTTATATTGTACAAGAAAGTCGAATTTGTGTCATTCATTGACGAAGCCAGAAACTTTTAGCCATTGGTTTATTTGGACTATTATTAATGCCTTTCTTTCAAAACTGTATCATCCATAACAAATTCCCATCCAGTGTTAAGTTTTGTTTTGAACTGTTACTAAAGTGGGAACTGTTCAGTGTGACTGTTGATTTGGAACACATTAAACACTTTTTTAAATAACAGAATTGGAGTTTTCTTAGACACAGTTATTTTATGCAATTTCTGCATCCTATAAGACTGTTGTTTATCAACAGCAAAGAAAGTGATAAAAATAGTTCTGGATTTTGAATGTTCTAAAATTTGATTGCTTCTGAGGTAAGAAGTCGTCACTAATGGAGTCCACCATGTCAAGGTAAGGCGGATACTCATTGAAGATATTGGTGAGGGTAGCGCTATATTACAACTTGACAAAGTCGATTAATTAATTGAATGGTCAATGAGCTTGATCTTGTAATCCGAAAGACCAGTTCTCAATCTCTAGTAGGGTCGTGGGGTCGACACAGCTGTTGATTCATGATGAAATTTAACAACTGGAATTAATCTATTTCCCATAATTTCTATATTTAATTTTTGTTTCTTTTCTAACTTTCTCTTTATATGTGAATACTTGCATTTAACAAGAAGAAATAAAAGTATCGTACAATAAAATTCGAAGTTTTTTGTTCAATCTCCTGAATTTTTATGCAAACATTTAAGGTTGAAGAGTATAGAATAACTGCATTTTATATCTGAAATATAGTCCTCAATTGTTGGTTTCCAGGGATTTGATTGATTTCAGATTTTACTTCAATTCGAAAAACTAATGAGCACCAGGGAGTAGTTTGCAGCAGTTTCGTCCTAGTTCGAGCCTTCTCAGAAGTATATGCCCATGACCCCATTGGGGATCGGAACCAGAACCCTCAGATCACGAGGTGAGCTTTAAGTGAAGTCAGTTCATCATTAAACTTTAAATGAAGCAAAGTTGAAAACTGTCATATTCCCAAACGGATGCTGTACTATCTCGGTCTGTACTGATGATACACCTTCAACTTCACTGGAATCACAGAGACTTTGAATGAGCTGATGACCTGTAATTTCAAAATTCCGATTTACGCATTTAGTAAAAACAACAGATTGAGTGAAGAAATATATTCCTTTTTAATTAGTTCCTCATCATCGGCTCTACACTAATACATAGTTTTTTTTACATCAAAATGCTTTTACCAATCAAGTGGTTTTTTTAGTTAATCAGTTTTAGGTATAAGCGGGGGTGAAATTAAGAGGTTGAAGGTCATCAAAACAGTTAACTAATAGATGTTAGTAACAAGATATCTAAGTTTTAAAAGAGGGGTGAATATTAATTGCGGAATTCAAGGTAAGTTGATTCTTAGGCGTTAACAAGGCGTTGTAAACAACAATCAGCTACTGAGAGAGATTTATTCTGAAATCAAGAGCAAATGAACTATTTTTGATAAGGTTAGCTTATTATTAAACTGGTTGTGTTGTCAGACAATGGTAATGGAATTATTCAAAGTGTCCGAAAAAGCATACTATTCCCTTACATAAGTTCCAAAGAAACACTCCTGGTTATTTGTCTACATTATCGATTTTCTGTCGCTTTATGTAATGAAAGGATACATACGAACAAATAAAAATAGCTACGACATTATATGAGGTAGGGTAACATAAAGGTTACGTGTTTAGACTGCTTAATTATAAATGTGGAGAAATTATATGGTAGTGATAAGCTAGTGGTTAAAGTTGAGAGCTGTTAAGTTGAATCATTCCAGTTTAAATTGAATGAAATAGGAAGCTCCATACCAAGGAACTATAAGATGATTAATTGAACAGAAACTATTCTGATTCTAGTGATTCCGATGCATTTGACTGTAGACTTTTATCGATGCATACCTTCGTTCGATAATAAAGATCTGATGGCCAGTCAGAATAAAAGACTCTGGCAGGCAACCAAACAGTTAAGAACCTTCTACTCAATAAACAAGCAGAAGTTGTTTGGGTGTGTGCTAAAGGAACTGTCAAGTGATACCACACACCAGGTTGTCGAATGGGAAATGATGAGTTAATCGTCCGAGGGTGAGGTGAAGGAGATCACGTGAAGAGCAGTTGGGAGATTGTGGGCCGTCGTAGATCCCGGGGAATTTGACGGTAGAGGGCAGAATGCCATGAAGATGTGCTTTGGGACCCTTTTGTTCCACTTGGAACTCGAGGGACGAATAATAGGTGTGGGGAATACTACTACAGAAGATCTGTAGTGAATACCGTTTCCTGCACACACGTTCAGAATACACAAGCACTTGACATTAGTGTCTTTCGTATTGTGTATGCAGTGATTTCGGTTAGGTTCAAATTCAGTAGCATAGTAGATATGACACTAATATTCAATATGAGCATTCGTCACATATTCATACCCTCTAGATGAAAAGGTCAAGTGAAGTTGTATGCATTCATACATAAGCAATCTTTTTATCACCAGAAGCTTAGACTTAGTTAAGTGTATATACTGAGGGTTCAAGGAGTGATATTCGACAACTGCTCATCAGGTGACAGTCTTTTCATTTCTTGAATATAGTCCTGAATGTATCGATCAAAGTCTATCTAACAGGTGTACTGTGTGGCTGTAGGGCTAGATAACAGGACACCACTATCTACTATAGTTGAGTACTAGGTGATGATGACAGAAGGTGACATCCATTTCTTCATGTTTCCCAATGTCAGTGATGTTGGTATTTCTTGTTTACAGAAACAACCGATTTACTGTTTACATGAATGAAAGTCCTACCACAGCAAAGCGGTCATTACTCATCGGTGAATTTACTAATTATTTCGATTAATGTTTAAAACATTGAAGAGCTGATAATATAGTTTTGTAATTTAGAAAGCAAACAGATTGATCGAAAAAATGTTTACTTTTCAATTAGATCCTCATCTCTGGCTGTACTCTCTAATATATATAATATATATATATATATATATATATATATATATATATATATATATATATATATATATATATATATATATATATATATATATATATATATATATATATATATATATATATATATATAACATTTTTGTTACAATACACAATTTACCGATCAAGTGACGATATGTTTGTTAACAAATATTAATCAATAATAACATGTCACGGGGCTTGATAATAACCAAGATAGATAATTCAAAAATTAAAGGGTAGAAATGATTGCAACAATGATAACATTTAATTAAAGATGACCGATATCAAGCCTTGATCAGCTCGTAAGAACAAAAGACGAAGTAGTTGGAAAAATAATTTGGACAATTATAATTTCGAAAGGTTCAGGGAAGGTCGAAGTAGTCCGGTTTATACATTCATGAAATGACGGCTAAGGTAAGGAAGGTGGCTGAGCACACATGTTTGGCTTCTTCAGGTAGATTCCTATGGCTCCAGGTGAATGTATAAGACGAACTGATAAAGCAAAATTAAGATTAGTAGGAATGCGATAGATAGTTTTAAATGCTGTATTAACATCAACCTTATGCTCACTATATGCAATGTATGCTAAAATAGAAGTACGAATAGATCTTGTTTGTCCCTTGCTTAACTAACCATGTTGGATGATGTTCGAAAAATACGGTGATGAACCTGCCTAATTGTACGCCCGATGTAGCTGGCTCCGCATCTGCAGTCAAACTGTTAGACACACATAGGGGGAGGCAAATCTAGGTACATTCTCCTTGTGCTTCGAACGTGAAATAGTGGTGGTGGTGAAGGGATAACGTACCTCTACTGGATTGAAGGCTCTTTTAACTGCATTGTACAGGCGGTGTTACTATTTCGCTGATGTTGTCGTCGAGAAACTAGTTTTATGAACAATGGTTTTCTTGCGCCGTTGCCATACTGACTCTCTTAGGTGCTGAATTCATATTTTTCTCAATGAAGTTATCTGAATAACCATTTTTTCTGAGTAATTCTCTAATAATCTTAAGCAACGGACTATTCATGGATTTTTTAAATAACATATCGAACATTGATTATTAATCCCTTGGGTTTCAAGTGGAATGTAGGGTTTCAACATCACATCTCCACTTTGTTCTATTTGGTGCTGTCGTCTTCAGCTGGGTCCACGATTTTCCATAGTCTCTCGTTTCCTCCCCCATCGCACGGCCTCCTCCAATGTCACCTTCGCACTGA